ATTATCAAAAAACGGCCAATTTGAGGTATTTTTGACGTTTTCGCTGCCCTTTCGGGTATCGCAGGACGAAGAATATAAGACGTATGAACCAAGTAAAATTTTTTATTTCATACAGATGGTATGAACTTACTTTCCACAAATATTCGGACCTTCATTGTCATTACAGGGTGTCCAATAAATTTTCGAACGCGAGAAAACGGTCAAAATTGAGCTATTTTTGACAAGTTTTCCACCATTATGGGCATAGCTTGGCAGAAAGTAAAAGACGTAGGAGTTTTCTGACATTTGCCCTTCCATACTGATAGTATGGACTTGCTTTCCACAAATTTTCGGATTTTTACTGCCATTATAGGTTGCTCAAAATGTTCATTATACGTTAAAAAACGGCGAAATTTCGATTTTTAGAGCTGCCGAGCGGAGAGTTTCGGCATTACCAAGCGAACTGAGAGTGACCTAGGAGAAAAACAAAAATTTTCCCTTAATCTGCAAGGTATGTGCTAGGTTTGTACCAATTTTTGGACATCTAGCGTCAAATCCGTGTTGCTGGCAAAAATATCAAAAATATACGGCGAAAATGCCAAAAAAACCGGAAAAATCTCGATGTTTAGGCTCTGTGCGCGCCGGGTTAAAATTTTTTTTTCTCAAAATCCTCTTGGCTACCGTGTTTTTTTATCACATAGAACCATTTAAGACCGTGCAACATTTGGTTTTGTCGATTTAAAAAAATAAGTCCCACCCTAACCTAGGGGCTATATCTTTGTTTTTTGGCTGAAAATTCAAAATCCGTCGAGATGTTTGACCTGATCGATAATATAAATCGCATGCCAGTTCGACCACACAAGAGACCTCGATAATTCACCTTAGGGTAGATCAGAGATGCAAAACGGAATGTCGCGGAATAAAATTTCATTTTGCTGAATAAGTGGCACACATTTTTTAAATTTAATTTTACGAGGTTCATGGAATTTTGCATCTCTGGTATTAATTAACAAGGAGAAGGTGAAAGGGTGGATAAACAGGATAAACTGAGGATAAGTATCAATTTAGCCATTCAATTTTCGACTGAACGATGGGAATCCCGCTCTACACTGCCGTGATAGCGAAGAAAGCCAAAATTTCGAAAACGAGTTTTCTTCAAAATTTGTGTAAACTCTTTTAGATGAAATTACTGAGACAGCTAAAACAGCAAAATTTGTCCCAATTTAATGAAAACGAGACGAATGAAAAAGCCGCAAGTGCACAAAAAATGACATGTTTTTTCAAGACAGCCGTAAGTGCATGAGAGCCAATGAAAACAGTGCTTTCAAGCAGGGCCGGATTAAGGGGGTCGCCCCATGCCCATGGGCCGCGGCTCATGGCGGCAAATCTATATGGAGCGGCAAATTTTGCAATTTTTTAAATGTAGGTATATACAAAAAATCGGATTCAGAAAAAAAATTACAAACGAGAAAAGGCGACCAAATCTCTCATTTTCTGAGAGTATAGTATGTTCTAATTTTGTCGTCTTTCAGTGATACAAGAGACAGCACCTGTAATTAATCGAGTTAAGAGAGAAACCAAACACGTAATTTGGCCTGGAACGGCGCGACTTTGAGAGAAATGATGACGAGGACTTGAGATGAAAAGGAGAAGCCCTCGTCTCGGCGATCGGCATGTAACACATATACAAGACTGCACGAATACTTCAAGTATTGCATCAAACACAGTGCGGTATTGCGGAGGCGGACAGCGTGAAACGGATAGCGCCTACAAGACTGCGTGAATACTTCACGCATTACGCCAAACACGGTCCGCGCGGTGCGGCGGCGGAAGTTAAAATCATTAATCCACATTTATGTTTGTTCTTTCATAATTTTTTCGTTCATTTCTCATGGATGGAAGGCCTCGTCCGTACAGAGATAGGTTTACGGAACTTAACTTTCGCGCAAAGCTCCGTGAGTTTTTGCTAATAGTGTTGACAGGGCTTTCCCAAAAAATGTGTTCAACAAGAGTAAACGCGGCTTCCCTCCCCGGCTGGCACGTTCATTTGATAGTTTTTTATTGATGTTTCAAAGCGAATGAGAAGAGGGCGGCAAAATACAGGCGGCTCATGGCGGCAATTAAGTAGGTAAATCCGGCTCTGCTTTCAAGAGGAATGCCACCCTCATCTGCCGATTTCTAACCCGAAAAAGTGTTTCTTGTGTGTCAAATACGCTACCACATAAGCACGCAGAAGATAGCACGTACTGCTGTCTTGCCAAATACTAACCTAACATGGAACTGAATTTTACCTTTTTCGTGTAGATACTTTAAAATAAAATCGGTCGAGTATTTTAATCCCCCAAATGATTTCTAAGAGTCTATCGAATGATTGGTTGCGGTTTGACAAAGAACGGAGGCTTCTTTCAATAAAATGTTCCACTCGGAAGCTTATAGGCCCATTTCCTCAAAACTTCATTTTAGCACTTACTGCTCTCTTCGCTATCACGGCAGTGAAGCCATTCAATTTTCGACTGAACGATGGAAATTCCGCTCCACAGCGTCAGCTCCAACCGAGCTTAGCGGTTGCCGCGAGCTACGAGTGAGTCAGAACTTGTTAGCTGTGGAACGGAAAAGAGCAGTAACTCCATTGGAACGTGAGTCTCGGTTGGCACGAGTTTCAGTACGGTTTGCGGCTCACTGCAGGATTGTAGTCCTCCTCTTCTCCGTAACTCGAGGCCGTGTAGCGTGCGCAGTAGATTGAATGCACGGGTCTGCTGAAGAGCCGCAATTTCGTCGCCTATTCTCACCAGTCCTCGGTAGTATAGTGGTCAGTATCCCCGCCTGTCACGCGGGAGACCGGGGTTCGATTCCCCGCCGGGGAGGATTATTTTTTTCCCATCTTTGAAGTCTATTTCACACTATTGGTGGAACATAATCTATCACTTGCTTTTATATCGAAGAGTACGGCGTATCTTTCAAATTAAATTAAAATTTAATTAAAAAATACAGAGAGGTACCTAAATCAATTGGATTGCATTTCGCGAAAAGGAACCACAAGCATTCCAGTGTCGCTAAGATTGTGCAACTTTTTTTTATCTTGCGAATAGAAACTGATCATCTGAAAAAGTTTTATCTTTACTCTCTATAAATTATGAATTCAAGACAAAAACTACGTTTGTAAATCTAATTTTTATCATGATTTCTGTAATTTTTTGCAAAGAATTTAAGTTTTTCAATCCTAGCAACATTGGAATGCTCTTGGTTCCATTTTGCAAAATTCAATCCAATTTAGCCAGACTTGTCGGCACTAAAATTTCGACAATGTGATAACACCGTTCATCGTTAATCAAACCGCAGTTTTATGAGAGTGAGTGGAAAAGCTTCCATAAATTTTTTCGTGTTTACTTCGTTTTTCAAAAAAGGAAGAGAAAAAAATATTTAATAATCAAAATTGAAATCTACCTGAATATCTTCACATATGCGTGTTAAAAATTGGGCAAATCGGATGTCATCCTTACGATTGCAATAAATGGCTTTTTGTGTTTAAATAGTAGCAAAAAAAAAGAAGGAAAAAAAATTAGTAAAAATTGAAAAAATTAAATAAAAATAAAATTATAACATTTTCCCGACATTTATACATAATTGGATGAATTTAAACTAAAGGAACTACATCCAACGTAATATGAACCTTGTCATGCATGTGTTATTATGAATGTCAGGGGAGAGGAAATGGTCCCTTTTGAGCTAAATAACACTAATTACAATGACCTAGTTTTTTAACTTTTCTCCTAATAACACTACTGCCGTGACAAAAAAAATGCCGTTTGAGCTTTTAGACGTTCCCATATTTTCTTTGATAAATCACGAATGTTCAGGAATATTTATGAACATTCCTTTTCCAATAAATCAGAGAATTTCGTTGGTAATTTTCTTCTGAATAGTCTAAAAATTCCAAGGAAAAATATTGATAACTCTCCTCAAAAATAAATTATGTTTTCGCACTTTAGCCATCGATATGTAATGTAAATTTTTATTATACACACACGTAATGCCTTTTCATGGAGACATAGAGTCGTAAATGTAAGTGGGAGAGCTGGCGCTACTTTTAAGCATTTTCCAGGTCCCGAATTCCGAGACTCCTGTGTGACGCCGGGTCACTTTTTCGATACATAATCGATTGTTCTTGATACACGGGTACCGGTACCCGACCATCCGATGTAAACCAAGAAGATAGGAATTACCTATCCACACCGCCATTTTGGATAGAACATGTATCGGAAAAGTGACCGACGCTCGGCGCACACCGGGTTCGGAACTCGTCGAGCAGAACATGGCGCCAGCTCTCTTAAGGTGAATCCAGGGTTCGATTAGGGATAATTCACGATTAGAGATAGCGCTACCAGTCACCCCTGAGAATGTCACTTTCCCTATACGATTACTGAAATAATATTGTTCAAATCACAAAAAGCAGATCCACAAGATGTAGATTATTTTTTGCTTGATTTTTTGAGCCAAAAATATATTAGCAATTAGAATTACAAGCGCAGAGAAAGTACGGCTGAAACTTTCAGCTCAGGGACGGCACGCAACCGAACCCCTTATGTCCTGTCTCTCTCTCTCCCATTGCCGCAATGGGAATTACTCTCCGCCGTAGTTACGACTTTATTTTTGGGAATTTTGAGAAGATTTTTTAACTGAGTGTTCCTGAAGTATTCAGAATAAGGGAGTTACGTGTGTCTATGGTTGGCTGCCACCTTTTTTCGTTTGGAGGCTTTCCAGTGTTGTCGAGTTTAGACTTTGTCCGGAGGTGGCTACCGTCACCCATGATACTGTATCCCCTGGATCCCCAATCTTGAATAAGTATTACGGTTTTTATTATTTTAGCAAATTTTACAGCTATTCTGAGCAGCGCGACGTGGTGGCCAAATCGCGAAGTTCTAAGCCTGGATTCACCTTAATTACATTACGACTCTATGTACTCTAGGTGCCCTTTCGATTTTCTTGCTCTTGACATGTAAGCTCCTCCTTTCTGTGAACAGAGACCCGAGGCCTGAAGGACCCGCTCCAGGTGGAGAACCTGCAGGACCAGGCGCAAGTGATGCTGAACCAGCACACCCGGGCCCAGCACCCGACACATTCGGCTCGCTTCGGAAGGCTGCTCCTCATGCTACCCCTCCTCCGGCAGGTACCCACCGTCCGTGTTGAGGCTATCTTCTTCCAGAGGACCATCGGAAACACACCCATGGAAAAAGTCCTCTGCGACATGTACAAAAACTAAACGCCCAATCAGGCCTATTCCAATGTGTGCAATCGCAACTAGCTGTACAGTGTATGTATAACGTAATGTAGAAGTCAAATCGGGCAATTTGTCAAACAGCATCCGGAAAATGAACGACGACACCCTTCCCTGATCGCTCCACTGTCCTACATTTTAGATTTGATTGGCGTTTCGCGTCAATACGGGCCACATCGTGTCCGGCTTCGTGAAGAGATATTGTAGAATACACGAGATATATTGTACGTTTATTGTACGTATTGTATGCATTGTAGAATGTGCGCGATTTATTGTAGATATTGTATTGTGTCATTCGAGTTCGCCTTCAACTCGGTGGTTATGCAATTCGAGCGACCCTGGCTTTGGAGTCACAATCATTGAGGGGCTTGGATGACCGTAGGCGCACCAGTTTAGTTTTTGAAAAAATTGAGATATTCATGAGCTCAACTGAAACTGGTTTGAAAATATATTTTGTGAAAAAATCACAACTGCAATCCAACTTTTAATGATCCGAAAATGAGTTTAAACCTCCTCTCCGCCATTAGGCTCCATAGTTTTGAAATTTTAAACACGTTCCTGAAATAGCAAAAACTGCACTTATGCGCCTTGCCCTCAGTTGTATTGACACTTTTTTTTTCATTCAAGCCTTCAAGTTTTCTGTCATGTTGAGATAGGAGGCAATATACATACTAAGGCAATATGTACACTGCTTACCTAAGTCTATAATTTTCAAATCTTTTTCATTCGTTCGGGAGAACAAAATTATGGAAAATGTATTACAAAAGTCGGTTCACATTTAATAAAAAATTGTAAAAAACATTCACTTGGACTGACCATCCGAAGCATTTGACTAAATGCCTGATTTGACTAAATGCCTGATTTGACTACTTGCCCGCGGCAGCGGTCTAATTATTAAAATTGATAGACAAACCTATAGACAAAGGAGGCAAAGGGAAAGTGGAGCGATCCTATTGGTGAAAGCAAGCTGTTGCTATGGAGATAGGAGGTAATGAAGCGACTAACTGCAACTCACGAGACACTCTGTAGTTAATCCTTAATTCCCCAAACTTGATCTATAATAACCATTCTTTTTAACCAATAGGATCGCTCCATTTCCGCATGTCTTCTTTGTTTATTGCTTTGTCTATCAAATCCAACAATCAGCCCGCAGATAGATTTGCCGCGTTAATAGAGCAACCAAAAATCGCAATTCATTGAATCGGATTTGTTTCAGCAGACATCACGTTCAGAGCGTATAACGTTCAGATTTTAGGTGAATTTGCCGCAGATTTGATTTTAGTATTTTCTACATTTGTTGCGGTGATGACTTCTATTTATATGTATTGAAAAAGGGGTCAGAGAAGCGAAGCAATTTTTTAGACGTTTATCTCTAAAAATTCTACTCTGGAGGCTCATTATCGAAATCGAAATTAATTGAGCTCACTTTGAGTACAGTAAAGTTGATTCAACGACGGTAAATAACTCTTCGTACGGGTAATTTTGACTACGATTGGCGGCTCAATTCGTAGTTCAATGAGATGTGATTCTTGCTTCGGCTCATTGTCAGTACGTTTCATAAGAGTACTCTCCACCTCATTGATAGATTTGCCAAGTGGAGGAGGAGAATAGATTCAGATACCATAAAATATGCAAAGTAATGATGAAATATTGATGTTCGTCGAATTGTAGTATACGTCGAAACGGGTGAATATGACAGTAAAACATGTGGTTAGATTTCTAACTTTTCAATCGTTATTAATGTTCAAGATCTTCACTTAAAATCATATTCTGACGATGAAATTTTTCTGTCGAAATATATCCTTCAGCAGCTTGAATTGCATGGCACATTTTCATACGGTGCTTCCATAGAGGTGCGTCAAGTTACATATGATATCCTTTTAAAGCGCCTTCATTTACGGAAGATGCAGAATACGTTGCACCTGAGGAAAAGTTGATCTTAACAGAAATGTGCCAAAAAATCTACCATAACCTCCTCCTTTCAAAATGGTGACTATCGCTGTATGAGTATGCTTAAAGTAGATACCATAAAATGTTCTCGCTGTTTATGCATTTTTATGTGAGTTACTATTACATTGTTACTTTTTAGTTTTTATTCTCAAACTTTCATTCATGCGAAATCCGGCACTTTGAAAGCTTGCGTAACTTATACGCAAGTATCGGATATTGTAAAAGTGAAACTGTAAAATAAATTTCAGAAATTTGTTAAATTATGTTCAATCAACTATTATAATTTGTCTTCACTTCCCCTTAGAGGCCGTCCAAAAATTACGTCATCCATTTTTTCCGATTTTTTGACTCCTAGGCCCTGGGGGTTGGGCTCCTTGTATGCTAAGGGGGGCAGCCCCTAGGAGTTGGGCCTCTTGAATGTCAAGTTGAATGTTCGGTGAGGCACTTCCGGAGGTTTTGCTCCCCAAAAATTATGTATCACATTGCTGAAATCCGTACCGTGTTGACTGGGCCAATGATTTTCCTTCAATTAGCCGGCTATGCAAAATGACTGTCGTGGCGCACGAATGGTGGTATCAGAATTTTGCACTAAGATTACGGAGAGGGTTGAAGGCGCGTTTCTGTATCGTATTTAAGTGGCTCCCCTTACAACTATGTTTACTAAAAATGTTCATAATTTTGGAGTCTTCAATTGAGCCGTAATTTTGAAAAATGCCCGAAGAATACTAATTTGATTATAAAGAAATGAGATTATTTTGTCTGTGAGTCTTATTCAAGAAAGAGAACCCAAACGCTTGGTTCAGATTGTGGTTTTTAAGCCTTCTTGCTTCGATCATCGTATATTCATGCAAAACTGAGAGAGTCGCCGTTTACAAGATTGCAACTTACTCGAAAGTGGTTTTAAATTCAATTAGTTTAGCACGGATAATATGAGCTTTCGCCGATGGACTGTGAATAATCAAATTTGAAGAAAAGGTACTTTGTCCACTGGTACATTTTAATGCCGTAAAGCGTGGATGGGTGCGGAGCATGGGTGTTCTCCGGAGCTCTACGGGCACCATATATAACGTATACTTGTACATATAGATGGCTGTAGGTTTCTAACAGTATATATGCCCAAGTGTTGGAGGAAAAATAGAAGAAAAAGTATTACCTATATTATTTTTTGAGGGTCCAAGCAGAGACGATATATTCTAGAGACTCCGCACTGTCTTCTTACCTACCTATGGAGTAAAAGTTACTCATGGAAGCCAATTCTATGATTCACTTATTGGACTCTTTTCACTTATTCTTCGTCGTATTGGATCACCTAAAGCTTCGAAACGAGTTTTAAGTATGAATAAACTCTATTTTTAATCTTAATGATCAAGAGCAGGTTCAAAACGCTAATAATGGAGATGTTACACGTGTGAGGGATTTACGATTTGACCATTGATTCTTATGAAAAAGTTTGCGAGAAACACGATGGTGCCACTGGTTTTCTCTGAAATCATCTCCCAAGCTCAAAAAAAGCTCTCAAAGTAAGTCCAAAATGAAGGGGATATCCCACCCTACCCTGAGAGTCCACCTCTACATCAAAACAAACTCTCCATGCAAAGATAGGGAGCAAATACATTAGCAGGGTTGCCGTGTTTTCAGTTTTGGAGTCCCCAAATAAAGTGGCAACCCTGCTAATGTATTTGCTCCCTATCTATGTAAGGAGAGTTTGTTTTGATGTAGAGGTGGACTCTCAGGGTAGGGTCATAGGGTGGGATATCCCCTCCATTTTGGCCTCACTTTGAGAGCTTTTATTGAGCTTGGGAGATGATTTCAGAGAAAAACAGTGGCACCATCGTGGTTCTCGTGAACTAATACGTAAGAATCGATGATCAAATCGCAAAGCCCTCACACATGCAACATCTCCATTGCAGAAATGCGTATCTCGTGATCAAATGTCATTCTCCAATCATACAATGCTTGATCTGGCCATATGTGATCGAACTAAATCTTATCTGATAAGGAATTGTAAGCTTGAAACTCTTTTTTCAGTCTTTAAATGATCCAAATCCGCCAACAACGGGTTTAAAACACTAATTGCAAAAATGCGTATCTCGTGATGAAGTGTTAATTCTTAGGGCCGAAAACGCGAATCTCGGCATTTCTGCCGTATTTTCTGACAGTTCGAGAAATTATTCCAAATGCTGATGGAGTCTGAAAAAACATTTTATTCCTGCTATCCTCAAGAATTATTACTTTTCTACTAACAATAAAGAGGAATGTATATACTTTTTTACTCTCCTGGAAAATTGTGTTTCCCGATATAGGCACTCCTGCACTTTCACCACTGAATTGCTGCAGACGCAGCTGAGGGCGAATTGCTTTCGCACGTAAGACCCTTTATAGAGTCAAGTTATACCTATGGGTACTTGGACTTTATGTCCACTTTCTTTACGTCCACAGACTTTTCGTCCACACTTTTTACGTCCACAGTTCTAAAGCCCACCCTATTGGTGAGTCCATTACTTAAACGTCCACTAACTTAAGTCAACAAATGTAAAGTCCACTAAAATCAAATTCAAGCGTCATATTTTAGTCCGTGTGTAAAATTATATTGACAACTAGTCGTGATTAGCTCGCTTTGCGAGCTGACACGTCTAGCCGGGGAGTGCCCCTGGACCCCAGTTCTACGCTTCGCGACGAACTTGCGACTCGCTCCGCGAGCCGCCACCGCCCCGCACAGTTTTTAACATTGATGAGGAGACAACATCTATGTCTTAATCTTCTTTTTCACCAAGTTTTACAGAAATTGATGTTCTAGGAGTCCGGACCGCGTTTTCGTGCGGGGCCGCCATCTTAGATTTGGAAATGTTGAAAATCTGACCAAAAATGCGAGTTTTCCGTCAAAATACACATCCTAATACCGAATTTCACAAAAATCGATGGATCGGAAGCCAAGATAACAACTTAGACCACGATCGCCATTTTTGATTTTTGAATTTTGAAAATCGGACCTAAAATTCTAATTTCCCGTCGAAATACACCTCCTAATACCGAGTTTCACAAAAATCGATCGATATCAGGAAGCGATGTAGCATTTTAGACCACGATCGCCATTTTTGATTATTGAATTTTGAAAATCGGACCTAAAATTCTAATTTCCCGTCGAAATACACCTCCTTATACCGAGTTTCACAAAAATCGATCGATATCAGGAAGCGATGTAGCATTTTAGACCACGGCCGCCATCTTGAATTTTTGAATTTTGAAAATCTGACCAAACATTCTAGTTTCCCGTCGAAATATATCCCCGGATACCGAATTTCACGAAAATCGATCGAACAGTAGCCGACTTAGCATTTTAGGCCACGGCCGCCATCTTGGATTTTGAGATTTTGAAAATCCGACCAAAAATTCGAGATCCCCGTTGAAAAATACCCCCGCTTACCAATTTCCTCAAAAATCCGTCGAAAAATACCGCCTAAAACCTTATATTTCGTCTATAAGGCAGTGACGTCACGCAACAGGATTGAACCTGTTTGTCGCGATGCGCGTAAACAACCGCGTATCTCCAATGTAATACTATATGGAGAAACAACTTTTCGCTCTTGCGGGCGTCCTAAGCAGCGGATTTGAGTGGGAATAATTTTAATCAACTCCTCATTACAATAGCTGAGCGTGTACCAATTTTAAAGGAAATCGCTTCGGCCAATTTTTATCTAGGGGGGCATAGTGAGTGGGAACAGCAGCTTTATATAGAGTAAAATATCGAAATGAGAAAATTAAGAGAGAATGAGGTGTTGTTATCGTAACTCATATTTTAAATGAAATGTTAATTTCTTCTTTTGATTCGTCTTTTCAAATTGTCTTTGGTAAATACTTGGTTTCATTTTTATCCTTGAAATTTCCGATATAAAATATGCCTTAAATGTACATTCTTTTTTTTAATGAAATTGATTACTTCATTTTAAAAACATTTACATTTTTAAAACGTGGTAAATATTTGTAAAACCTTTTCCAAGCAATGGCAGCGATATGAATCTCAATGGGCCGTAGTTTTGATGAAAGAAATTATACAAAAATTAATAAAAGAGGAAAAAAACTAAGAAGCACTCAATTTTTTGTTTTTAACTTATTAATTGTACATCGACCTCCTTGAGTCAAATACAACCAATTTTGAGCGTTTGGTTGCGCTTACACCACGCTGCAGCACAGTAAAAGCCCAAAACATAAAAAAATAAATTCGAATGCTTTGGAAATCATTAAATTTGATACGGAACCACTATTGTATTTACAAAAAACACATTATATATTCCAGTAGTACATCTTTCTTTTTCATCAATTTAAATAAGAATAATTCACGCAGAGTTTTCAAACATTTCAAAATTATGAGTTGAAAAACGCTGACTCCGCGAGTTTAAATATTAGAGCCTAACACAGAGCGGAGCGGCGTGTTAGCAGCGCAGAACGCGCACTGGCGCCTACAAACCTAACGAGATACTTCACGCATCGCGCAACGCGTGAAGTATCCCGTTAGATTTGTAGGCGCCTATGCGCGTGTCACGCTGGTTGCCTGCCGCGCCGCAACGTTTTAAGCGACTATTTCGCGTCAGCGGCGTTGCACAGTATCCTACAAGATTAAAGGCGCACGAAATAACTAGTTAAAGAGGACTTTCAATTTTGACTGCATCTTGTTACTGAAAAATGTTTAATTTGGCATTGGAGCGTTTCCTAGGCTCCAGCTTTGGTTTTCATCTTATCATATCCGTACAGTGTACACATGAACATATGTTTTTATCTGCTCTTAGAGTCTGTTCGTTTTCATGACTTGATTCATGAATGAAATGTTTTTAAGAATGAAGGTAGTAGTAGTATGCATTTATTTTTGAGGTGGTTCCTGTCATTTAAATGAGAGGAAAAGAATGCGGACATAATATGTCCACAATTTGGACAATTTTGGACAAATTCATGGTTGGACATTAAATCATGTGGACTTAAATAAAGACTGGACCTAACGTTTAGGGGACATAAATAGCGGTGGACATTTATTTAATGGACGAAAGGTAGGTGGACATAAAGTCCTGGAAGCTACCTATGTTATGAGCTGAAATCAGCACGCACAACAAATCCGTAACAAAAATTTCTTCAGACGCAGCAGAGGGCGAATTCTTCAGTTAAAAAAAGAGTATGGCTGTCAGCCACCCATAAAAAAAAAAAATTAAAAAAAAAAAAAAAAAATAAAAAAAAATAAAACTGCCCGCATACGCCGTAAAGATAAAACGAGCTAAAACTACGTAGATTGCGCGCTGAGGAGTGGGTTTCAGACTTTTTGGATGTCCCCTTTGTGATTTTCGAGCGAATTGATCCTTATAAAGTTATTTGGTTAGCTGTATCGCTTGCTTGTAACAGACCCATTTCTCTGATATATTCCTCTTTGATGGATTGATTGAACATACTCGATTTAAGTCATGAAAGTAGTTCATTAAGGTCTCTGAAAGCAAAAAAGTTACGATAATAATAACACTTGAGGTAAACAGGAGTGACCATCTTATTTATTTAGTTCAGCTCTCATCCATTTTTGTATTTTATTTCAGTCTATTTTTACAAAATTAATGTTCTCCTTTTCACCAACAGAAGTCTGCAACAGAAACAATGCTCAGGTATTGATTAATTTTTCTTCTTTTATAGCAAGCACTAATCTGCATAGCTCCTCAATGAAAGAAACGAAACAACATTTTCATTTTTCTTTAACGAGAGGATTACAAGATAGTATATGATGAAACCAGTTTAAAGTGGTTTTTCTTCAATGTCTCCTATCACAAGAGTCAGTTAAAATCAAAATCAGTTTTATGAAGATCAGAAATTTCATGAAAAATTTTACAAATTTACATTGTAGTGATAACAAACCTCACATTTTATACATAACTCATACACAGATGAAAGAAATATTTACTCCAGAAAATTTCTGCAGTAATTTTATTTTAATCCTCTGCTTTGTTAGTCTGTATCACGGCATCCGAGAGTTTTTGCCAAGAAACCAAAATGAATAGTAAAATTGGAGTTTTGTCATTCTATGTGAAAATCAGTCGAAAAGCTTGGCTATTGAGTCTAATTTTTTGGTAACAATACTTGATAAACTCTCGCTTTTCATTGCTTGTATTCAATGTCATTTGTCGAAAATGTATGCGGGGATTTAGCAAGCACGCACTATTCTATTCTAGGCAAAAAAATCAAGCAGTCAGGGTCCAGTTGAATCATTCTGTGAGAAATAAAAAAAAAGTTTTTTTAATACTAACTAATTTTACAACCGATCATTTCCTAGACAACACAAAAATAACAAAAATTCTTTCATAAATTTAAACAGAGTAAAAAACAAATCGATAAGTAAAATGTCTACGCAAAATTTAAAGAAATAGGTTAGTCTAAACCTTAAAATCTTTTTAATCAGAATGTTAATTACTTAATCATCATTAGTTGAGATTGCCAAAAATACAAATACAACGGTGGGATATGACAAAAGGAAGTTGCATTAATCACGCAAGGCTTAAAACTACGAAAGAGTGTTGAAAAATTCGGATCCCAAATATTTTTCTATTGAATATAACAAAATTATGTATAGACATTTCAATTTAAACAAAATCCTCCTAAATCTAAATTTACTATTTCAATTGTTTTATTTTGATAGAACCCGAGAAAGTGATTTTCTTGAAATTTTGTGTACCCAAACAAGTCAAATGCTATGCAATAACTCGTAGATTATCAGGGTTCTACATGCCTGAAAAAAAACCCTGGTAAATTGACAAATCATCAGTATGGCACTTGGTATGTTCCCTAGAAATTTGAACACTCTGAAGTTGTTATCACGGTAGACCATATTTCTTTGGCAGCGGCTTACTGGTGTCAATATGAACCTCATGTTGCAGTCTAGGGGGAAGTTCTCGGTAGATTGCCTCAGGTACATCATCTGAAAATCACAAGTTGAGCACTTTATTCATAGGAAAAATTAAACTGAGACAGGAGTTTGTACAATTGTTGACTTCACTGAAAAAAAAAGGAAGATGATTTAACATTCTGGATGTATACAAAGTGCGCGAGAACTTATAAAATGCTAAATTACCCGCTGCGTCGGTTACTTTAGCAATGCCAAGATGTAAAACTAAGTTATGTGGCGGGTAACTCAGCATTTCACAAGCTCTCGCACACTTCCTTCACATTCAGAATGTTAAATCAACTTCACTTTTGTTTCGGTGTTGTTGTGTCACGAATATTCAAAATTCCAATTCCAAAAAATAACCTAAAACTAATTATCCTATGAAATATCTAATCAAAATGATTCGTCAATCTATTCGTCAATCTTCTGTATAGTTTTGCTAGTCAGATATTCTGTAAAAGTTAGGTGAAGTGAGGAAAGCATCACTTCCAATGCATTCAAAATGGGATTGGAGCTGTGAAAACGGACGTTACATTCCGGGAGAATATTTTCCCGAAAATTCTTCTTTTCTGACAAAAAAAACTTATAAATTGTGATTTCTATTGAAGGAAATATGGCAACGTCTGAAGGCTCATAGGGCGTTCTCTCTTGTCATAGCAGAATATTCTTAATGCTAATGGTCTCAAGTCCCCTTTTAATTAAGTTTAATTTTTCTTTAAAAGGATGTGACCCTATTTTTACTAGCCTATGGGCCTCTTAAAGCAAAAGATATAGTCATAGTCCATTTTTAAATATAATTAAGAAGAACGTACCATTACATCTGTAAACTAGATCAGACCAGATGATCATTTCTTGAGAGAAGCAGAAGACTCCCAAACGGCCTCCACGCAATGTCGAGTCGAATATATTACCAGAATCGGCAACCATGTTTTCTCCCTCAAAAATTCGCAAACGAATGAGACCAATGCGAGGTCGATGCAGCAATAGCCATCTGTAGGCCACTTTTTCTTTCCAGCCCACGTTCCGAGGATCCTTCCATAGCAGACGAACCTTCGAGAAAGGAATTAAAATTTCAGGATTTTTTGTCGCAACGCAAAATATTCACCATAAATTTGAGGCTGAGGCACATGTTAGATTAAAAGTGAGGTATGCCTCTTTTGTGGTGTGAGCAAAACATGATATCTCTGGTAAAAAAAAACAAAACGAAAAAAACTTAAATAAGCTCTGCTTTTCCATTCGTTGGAATGGTTGGGATGACAAGTGGCAGACTGAGAAGTTTACTATACGGACCTCGTTAAGCAGAGATGAACCAAGCTTCATCCGCTATCCCCAAATTTAACTCGAATTTTTATGCAAATTTCAGCGAATGTTCGGCATATTACAAGGCAAATTACTTAAAATTTCAAAAGAAGGTGCGCAAACGTGCTCTTATAAACAATTAAATTTCCCGGTCAAATTTGGCAATAGCCGATGTGGGTTGGTCCCTCTCTGCTAAACGTGGTCCAAACGGTCCTAAGAATCGGTTGAAATTAAAGGGTGTCATAAAAAGAGGAGGTACATCCGACGCTGAACAATCGTGACAACTCTTCAACGGAAGTTACATCTGAATTTTCTAAAGCACTTCGTTATTCTCAAGAATAGGTGCACCTCTGTCATCCGTCATAAAGTGAATAATAGAATTTGATTCGGTTCATATTTACCTGACTGTCTGTATCACCAGTATGCCAAAGGGAATTTCGTAGCATTTGCCCTGGACCAGTGGAAGACTGAACCACTTTGAGCTGAATGCCCGGCTCTGCAACCGCTCTGAATGGTGTTGCTTGCCAATATGTTTGAGTATTTTTCTTCCACATTACAGTGTAAAACTTGTGGTTATCTTGGTAACTGAAATAAAAAGTATTGTTTTTAGGAGGAAAAGTGCTATGGCAATATTGAGATTAATTTATTCCTGCTTGCCTACAGTCCATATTAATTTCTTTTCTCGTATTTCTTTGCGTGTTAAAATATAAGCATCAAATTGTCTACAAGCTATTTACAATCCATCCGACTTTCTCGTGTTTGAGTAGATTAATGCAGATACTTAAGGCCCGGATACACCTGCGAGTTACAAGCGTTTATTGAAAGTGGAACACCAATAGGCAAGATGGATTTCGATAGCTCGACGTCAAGTGATCGAAATACTGGTTTTCTACTGGTGTTTCACTTTCAACAAGCGCGGGTAACTTGCAAGTGTATCTACCGCTTTAGCTCCGTAAGGAACCAAACATTTTACACATCGCGGATTTCCACAAGAAAGTTGATGATAATATTGCATATTCCATGCTTTGGCTTATTGGATTGAATTCTCCTACTGAAAAATTGTTCCAATACCCACCTTTTTTCGTTTTACCTAATAGGTGAGCGTAGGCCGTATTCAAAAATATAGCCCGAGAAAACCATTAAAAAAAACAAGTAAAAAAGAAAAGGAGAACAAGTAAAGTGAGAAAGTTTATTAAGGAAATGACAAAGCTCACCTGAAAATAAATCCAACGTAGTCATCATCAATTTCTGTATCAACGAAGAATGTTCCTTCAAAATCTACCCCTCCAAATACATCAAAACCTGTAATTTAAAATTGAAGTTTTGAAAAGTCAAAAGAATTAAAACAATCTTATTGGTGGGTATAATTTTTTACAGTAGTAGGTCCTTTTTAGTGTTGAGCAGTTTGTAAGTGTCACGAACTGACGTTACAGGAACTGCAATTTCCAATGGGCCTGTTGCAAACTTTTGCTAGAGCAAAAATAAGAGTTGTTTCTTGTAGATAATGCCTCAAAAATCACGATGAGCGCATCGGCAAAGTCTGAAATGCACTCATAACTTCACAATCTGCGTAAGAAATTTGCGTTTTTTTAAGCTTCCCGCTTCAAAAACGATACTACGGCATAGGTGAACATTTTGTTAGAGGAGTCGCTCCATCGTCGGCGATATTCATCATGGCCGACGCTTGCACGCAGTTCCGCGCGTAATTCAAGGAGAGTTCAAGGTCAATCAATTCGGGCGTGGAAAATATGAACGTTAACACACCGATTCTTATCTGGTCTAATCCAGTTCAGGTGTTATCTCGTCCCATCAAACGTGTTTTGGCGGATTGGCGTCGGCTATGATGACTATTGCCGACGATGGAACGACTCCTCTTACAAAATGTTCACCTGTGCCGTAGTATCGTTTTTGAAGCGGGAAGCTCAAAAAACCGCAAATTTCTTACGCAGATTGTGAAGTTATGAGTACATTTCAGAGTTTGCCGATGCGCTCATCGTGATTTTTGAGGCATTATCTATAAGAAACAACTCTTAGTTTTGCTCTAGCAAAAGTTTGCAACAGGCCCATTCGTATGACTTTTAGTTCCAAAAATAGAAAATTCATCCCTCACAAGAGTAATTACTGATGCTTTACTGATGCTTTACTGATTCCTCTAGTTAGGTTAAGCTACCGCCAAATTTTTTAAGTTTGAAGATTTTCTTTTACTACCTTAATTATATTAATTCTAAATAGTAGGGTATCTAATCCTAGTTTTTGACAGAAATTTACATCTTTATTGGTAAGATTGTTTAAATTTTAAAAATTGTACTTATTTACAATTTGGTTTACTTCTATCTTTTTAATCAATATAATATATGCAGAACTAATTAACTATTCAGCAGATGTAAGTTTAAATTAACATTTTTCCAATAGCACGTGGTATCAAAGGCGTCAATTTCCTTACTAAAAATTAATTTTACCTAAAATGTTATTAAATTATTTTTAATGAACGCAGTCACCCCCTACGCGGCAAAATTCAAGCTGAGTGCACAACTCCGGCCGAAGTTAATCTATTATTTGCGTCTCCCGTAAAGTTGAAATTTTAGGGTTTGTGACATCGTAGCTTAATTTTTTTTATCCATTTAAATTGAGCAATTTAATGAGCCTATTTCGGAGATGTCCTTACCAACTGCTAAACCTGGATCACTGTTCATGGTCTGGACAATCTCAGCTCCTTTGTTGTAAATGACCCAATTAGGGTCAATCTGCGAGTCTCCTTCTGGGTCCAAAACCACTGTTTGATATGTTCTGCAATGAAAAATATGTAATCATTAAAGCATTTTGAATTTGAAAAATTAAATAACGAAAATGAATTTGAGTCCACTTCAATACAAATGTTTTAATCCTATCCATCGAATGAAATTTTATTGACATCAATTCGCCTTTTAAAATATTTTGTTGTGCAAGTTACCTGCCCTACTTTCTCAAGTGAATGAATTTATTATGATCAGTAGATATTGGGAAGTGTTATAACTATTTTGAATTCCAACTAGGTACAATTGCATTCCCACCCAATGAAAGAGAATCTCGGAGACTTTAACGCTGGAGTTGAAAAGTTGGATGAGGTGAAACGCGTGATACAATTATTTCGACTTTTGAGTAGGTAAAATTGCATTCACACCCAATGAAGGAGAATCTCTTGTCCGCTAACTCAGAGACTTTAACGCTGGAGTTGAAAAGTTGGATGGGGTGAAACGCGGGATACAATTATTTCGACTTCTAAGTAGGTAAAATTGCATTCCCAAGCAATGAAAGAGAAAATCTTTCCCGCTAAATTAGAGACTTTAACGCAGTAGTAGAAAAGTTGGATGGGGGCTAAACGCGCGATACAACTATTATCCAACTTCCGAAGAGGCTCATCAGAGATTTTACTTAAGAGAAGAATAGTTATATAAGGTGAAACGCGTTATACACCTATTTCGACTTCCACATAGGTACAATTGCCTCTGCATGCAATGAAGGAGAACATGGTGTTCTATATCATTCCAACCAACCTGTCGTCAAACGTGACTTTCAGTTCGCGTATCCGAGCATTTCGTGGAACCGATTTTATGATATTAAATGAACGAATAAAATAAGTTCGACTATACACGAACCGAACTTGCGGTTACAAGAATATATAAAAAAAATCGGTTTTATTTTAAAAAGCGAACGCTCAACTCACTGTTTTTTTTACGAAAACGTATAACAAAGATGTTGATATTCTCTAAAAATAAGACTGACTTCTGCAAAACTGCGTTGACTTTTTTAGAAGATTATACGGTTTTATTGTTGAATTTTTTAACAAAATCACCGCGTAAGCATTTTATTTTGGAGAACCTTATTGCAAAAGCGATTAATTTTTTTTAGAAAATTACTGGGAACGCATGCACTATTTTTTGGTGAAACGGTGACAATTTTAGCACAAACTTAAGTATTGAACTTGTAGACAACGTACAAGTTCAACAAACAAGTATTTTAGACTACCATCAACTACAGACATTACAGTATATATGGATATTTAGAGGGTGCCATAAGCTTTTAATTTCGTAGTCTCGAAGATAAAAATGAAAACAAAATGAATTTGATACAATTTTTCCAATGATCAGAGTACTTACCTGAAATCAGTTGAATATATTTTTGAATTGTTGGGACAGTTGTCCAAGTAGTTAGGAACTTTATCGAGATCAAAATCTTCTTGGCACAGATCACCAACTCCATTTTCTGCAGAAAAGTACAAAATTACCACACGTTTAATTTCTAATTAGTATTTATTTCTAAGTAGAAACTGGTTCGTGTGTGAGTTATTTTTCCGAAATATTAGAGCAATAGAAGAGCCCAAGTAATGTGTCAATCCGATGCGAAGATTAGGATTGGCGTATTGTGCGATTTTTGTGACGATTTTTTCGTCCATTTCCAATTCTATTAGTTATGATCTCTGCGCGGATGCTTTCCTGTTGGTAACTTCTACAGGTTTTAAAATGGATCATGTTGTTGAAATAGCCTTTTATTGCAGGGTTCACTGGAAAAAAAGTCGCTTGAATCCAGAGTCCAAACTCTTAAAAACATTGACAAGAAAAAATACTCTTGATTCAATCGAATTTTTGCTCGAATCAAAAGGAAATCCGCTTAAATCAAGAAGCTTGGCTCTTCGATTCAAGGAAAAATCATATTGAATCAAGAGTAATTTCTCTTGTCAATGTCATTAAGAATCAGGACTCTAGATGCAACCGATTTTTTTTCGAGTGTTCCGAATGCATCGTAGCATTCCGTCCATTTTGTGATTCGTCAAAAGTTACGCTGAGGGAGATAAGTAGCCGAGAAATCCCTTGTAAATCAAAGTTATAAACTATACATTCAAATGAATAATGTGGGTACTGCTCTATAGCGAAGCAGGTTTATCTTAATTTTGTTTGTATTTTCCTTTGGTTCTAAACTAAGCAGCGTCTCCATTCCATGTCCGTCAAAACCTCGTGGATTTTTTTTTTAGATTTTGTCAAAAGTTCCGGAAAATGCAAAATATCCGGAACATTTCGGGGATTTCAAAAGTTCCGGGAAAAAATCAGGAGAATCTCGAAAGTTCCAAAATTCGGTACTGGTCCCGGGAATTGGGAGTCCTGAGACTAAGGAGTCCTCTCAGATTTGAAGAATGATCAAATTGTGCATCTACATAATTTATCCAAAATTATAGTTATCAATAATAATACAAACCGTCGACGTCCTCTTGATTTGGATTGTATGCCAAGCGGCAGTTATCCTGGTTGTTGGGTATTCCGTCCCCATCGATATCCGGATCGCACTCATCACCTCGTCCATCGCCATCAGTATCCAGTTGATTACTGTTGGGGATCTTTGGGCAATTATCAGCACTGTCCTGAATTCCATCTCTAAAGAGCAGTTAAAATCAGATTTGTTTTATGCCTTTTATCAACGTGGTAAGTACCTACCCGCATAACTGACTCAGTTGTTTTCAAAAGGGAGCAAGTCCATTTTTGCATGAGCCTGATTTGCATAAAAGGACATACTACCTAAAACACATCGAGGAGTGGACCTGTTCCCTTTTGAAAACAACTGATTCAACTGTTCGGTAATATTCTGAGACTGACAGTCATTTTGAGGTCTCTAAAGAACTTTAACGGGTTCTGCTTCTTCTTCCTTTTTTATACACCAATTAAATGATTCCTTTTGGGCTCTAAGCTCAACAAAGGAATAACATTTCAAAATGCTATTAGTGGTAGCAATTTTTTTTTCCAGAAAAAATGTATGAGATTTCCAAAGAAATGTTTAAAACTGGGCAATATTATTCTCCCTCTTTATTATCAGAAAAAATGCCCACGTGGTCTATTTTTATGATCAATGCTCCTTTTCCTAATTTTCTGTGATTTTGTTTTGTATTTTCTGAAAATTTTCCAAAATTACGTCACATTTTGAAAACACTTTTTTCTTTTTTAAACTAAAAAAATTAGGTAGGTCTAAACAGAAATATTTGACATAGCACTGTTTTTCTTAAGGGGAAAACGAATTATTTGTGTTTCCCTTACTCAAATTTCGATTGATCTCGGTTTCAAAAGTTTCCGAATTTCAAGTACCAGAGTTGAAACACACTCTGGAAAGGTCAAAAAGTGCATTTAGCACCTGCAACTCAGTCGAGACTGATAGCCCCCTTGTTTATTTATTAATTTATTCTTAATTAATTTAATTATTTAATTTATTCACAAGCTTTTAATATTCAATACGAACCTATCCTTGTCAATGTCACTATCGCAAGCATCACCAACCAGATCGTTGTCTGAATCAGCCTGACTTGGGTTCGGTATCCGAGGGCAGTTATCGCAAACATCTCCCAGACCATCACCATCCTCATCACGCTGGTCTGCATTTGATTTTTTTGGACAGTTATCATGGTGATTTAAGATACCTGGAGGAAATAAAGTTGTCATAAAAATTGGCCTACCATGGAACCTTTATTTTACTGGAATTTTGCGTTGGTACGTTATTTGTTATGTGACGTGATTGAAGGACGCCAGGAAAAAAAAATCGTCATAATGGTTATCTGGTCTCAGTCTAGTTTTTAGCTTACTTCGTAACCTCTCGCACCAACATTTTACAATACCACCATTAGGGAGATGTAAATCTCATGATCTGTTTATTTAGCCACGGCACATGGCGTCATGCTACAAAAATTGTTGCATTTTGCCACAGGTTATAGGTGCTCCGGGGCTAGATGAAACGAGAAAAATAATTGCTCTAGAGCAAACAACTCTTCATTTTTTTCTCTAATTCATTCCAAAAATAAAATATTGTAAATATTTAATACTCACTCGGTACTTGGTTACTACCACTTTTTCTCTACCATCATCTGGTTTTTGTCTCGATCTTTGTCGAAAAGAAAAAGTTAAATACTATTCTAAGGACTTCATTTTTTTACAAGGTGCCACAAATGTATGTCTAAGTAAGGCTGTTTTACTTCCGGCCTTTATCTGAATGTCAAAGCAAAACTCTCAACGCAATCTCCTGGGGATATCTCGGGTTTGTATGATACAATTTATGGTCCGAACGAAATTTCTGGGAACGTGCGTTAGGAGTTACCCCCTAAATTTGAACAGGTGCCTAGAGTGCTTGTTAGATTTCAACCAGGAGATAAATCCATAAAAATAATTAATACAATTTGGCCGAAGTACACGTCAAACTTAATATCTCACCATCATTGTCAATATCAGAATCACAAGCGTCTCCAATTCCATCCTTATCAGTGTCGTCTTGGTCTAGATTTGGAATGGTCGGGCAGTTGTCACACGCATCTCCTTGTTTGTCTGCTCCATCTTGATCTGAGTCCAGTTGGTCTGGATTTGCAACTAGGGGGCAGTTATCCTAAAATTTGTCAAGGAAAAGTATGCCGAATTAATATCTGTTGTTTGCGCTGGCATGGAAAAGAGAAGAAATATCGAAGCAACATACAGCAAATATACAGCAGATCAGTGGATGCAACTTAACTTAATTCGGTGTGATGTTAGGTTGCATCGTCGAATTTGAAGGCGAACTAGCGATTTAATGAGCTGTTTGCGCTGGTATGAAAAAGAGAAAAAATATCGACTGTGAAACTACGAGACCACGTATTTCCTTTGTGGTGCTTAAAAATCTCCGCTCACATTTTATTTTTTTTGTAGGTGAACAAATCAATAACACTCCTTGCAATTTTTACGGATTTATCTTCACACTGAGGAGAAAAATCACGGTTGCCTTCAAGAATTGATGTTAAAAAAAAATAAGTATGGTGGATAGGTATGACAAGTAGTCTGCAACGTCGCAAACCGAGACACGTGGCTAGGTAACTTCACCGTTGATATGAAACTTCGGCTGTTACTAAATTTCCTTTGATAAAACCTGAAGTTGATTTCCTGAAAGTTCTTCAAATATTTTCCTCACAATTTTTCAGTGCAGAATTTTCGCAATTATGATCTAAGTCATCTGAAAGTTTAAAAAAAATATTCATAACATTTCTTCAAAATAGTGTTTCATCGAGAAACATTTGGCAGCATTTGAATGTTCATACAGTGTTTTTCCCTTCAGCATGACTTAAGCGTAAGTGTTAACGTATTGCTAATTCCTCAAGGGTAAGGAAAAAGTCCCCAGGATAGGTTGAAACATTCAGCATACAGCAAATCGGTGGATACAACTTAAGTAACTTCAGTGTGGGGTTACGTTATATCGTCTAATTTAAAGGCGAATTAGCAACGACTCAACTGTTACGGTTATATGTATCACCGTCATCTTTATTCCGCGATTCACAGATTGCAATAAGTAGCAATGACATTCTTAAAAAGTATTGCGATTCCACTGAGTGTTGTGTATGTTGCATAGCTCCTACTTGAAGGGGCCTCATTTATTGAAACTAATTGCAATAAAATTGAAATGAGTTGCAATTTTTCATTGCATTGCATATTGCCTATCTTTCTGACACGTGAAGCTCATTTTGTTGATTGTTCAAAATCGTCATAAATAGACATGATGTAAAAATATTGCAAATAAATGGTACAAAAAATACAATTTTATTGGAGTCAAACTGCAATTTAATTTCAATATTTTCGTTTCACTGAGGTACTTAGGTCGTAAATTTGTTTCTCCAGAAATGATAGGTCTATTTCCTGGATGGATCCTTACCGGAATGTTCAAAATTCCATCATTGTCAGCATCTGGATCGCAAACGTCTCCCATTTGATCCCCATCTGCGTCCTCTTGTCCAGAGTTCGGTATATTCACACAGTTGTCCTGACAAAAAAACGTAATAAAATCAGTCGAAGTAAATTGGCAAATTTTAATCTAGCATATACAAAGCACAGCGATTGTACAACGCTTGAGGCGCGAAAGTGCTTCGGGAGGTTGGACCGCGAGGCGGTCAGGGCCTGTGACTCTCAGTAGGTATATTGGCAGCGTTACAAGTTAAATTAATTTGATTTTTTAGGTAATGACTTTTATCGATTGCAGTAGATTTCCGAGGTTTCAATAGGTAAACTAATTAAATATAGGTAATAATTAAATGGTAGGGTTACGATAAATCGTCATAACTAAGTTAATTGGTCATAGATAAATGAGCAAGTGAAAGCCAGGGGCGCTCAATTACTCCACTGTTATGTTGTAAATTTTCATGAATTTGGTTCCTCCACGATTAAAAGCTGGAATGATAGTGCCCTTAAAATGGTCGTGTAATTACACGGACAAAAATGACTGTGCGCGGATAACCATATTGGTTTTGTTAATTAAAAGTTGGTGCCGTATACATGAAGAAATTGATAGAATAACCAACGGCATTGTAATGTCCACAACGTCTTTAGGGAAATCAATCATTTTCAATTAGTTGCTACTAGCTATTACAAATCTGTTCACCGAGACAAAATTGATGGTAAACTGCTCCATCAAGTTGACTCATTGCACCAAAGAGTGCGCTTGCGCTTCACCTATCTTGTTTTTGGTTAATGCTACTTGGTTAAGTGGGCTCATTGAACTACAGAATGCGTTAGTGCAAATTATAAACTTGTTGATTATGAAAGGTCACCATCTCAGATAACTCAATTAAAGTATTTTGTTAGTAGTCTGCCCGGTCAATTTTTTACGCTTTACCAACATTGAGTCACCAAAGGAAGCAATCAGATATGCACGGAGAAAAAAACTTCGTGCCCGGGACCCGAAGTTTAGGTCATATGGATCTCTGAAGTTTTCGGATTGAGCATCTGAACACTTTAGATCTAGCTGTCGAGGTTCGGATCACACATCTGAAACTACAGTTCTTACATCTGAAGTACTTCGGTTTTCACATCCGAAAAACTTCGGTTCTCAAATCCGAAAAACTTCGGCTCTCACATCTGAAGTACCTCAGATGTAAAAACTGAAGTTTCAGATGTGTGATCCGAACCTCGAAAGCTAGGTCTAAAGTGTTTAGATACTCAATCTGATAACTTCAGAGATCCATAAGACCTAAACTTCGGGTCCCACGCACGAAGTTTTTTTCTCCGTGTGGGCCGATTAGGGAAAGTATGTTGATAAATTTTCAAGAATTCATATTCAACCCACCTTGTGTGACTGATAAGCGTGTAATAATATGTTCGTGGAGCGTACTAAAGTCGCCGCAAAACTATATGACTTCGCGCAATTAATTAATTATTCTTGACTCTGCTCGGTTTTAATGATAATTAAAGGGCATTTATTACAACAATTCAGAAACTCGGACGATGTTAAATTTTTCACTGAATTAAAAAAAAAAACGGATTAAAACGAACTAAAATATTCATCAAAACCAAAAATTATTTCATTCTAAAAGTAAAGTATACCTCATATCGTAATTTTTGAGGGGAAAAATAAAACTAACACTGATAGGAGGTAAAAATACGGCCGCGAAACGGCCCATTGATGGCCCGGGCCCCAAATACTAGGGGGCATAGCCCCCTAGTATTTGACTATATGCCTAGGCATTTGACAAAATGCCTAATTTTACTATTTGCCTGCGACATATCGATTGCATTGTTTGAAAATTTCTTTCCTCCCCCCCCCCCCCCTCTTGGCACCAAGTTTTACGAAAATCCGACGAGCAGGAACCGAGATAGCGTTTTAGGCCACGCCCGCCACCTTGGTTTTTCGAATTTTCGAAATTAGACTAAAAATTCGAATTTAATCGATGGAATGGGAGCCGATGTATCAATTTAGGCTACGTCCGCCGTCTTAAATTTTCAAATTCAGAAAATTCAACTTGAAACGCATCATACCCAAAATCTAAGCTCAGATTCGGCTTCCTCGTGAAAAGTCGATGCTAAATCATGTATCATATGTTACCATAGCATAAAGAAAAGAGGGTAATCGTAGGCGTAAAGATTCTATTAAAGCCGGCCGGTATACGGAAGTAGGCACAGAATCCAAACGTTTGAGCTACGCCGCCAGGCGCCAGGCGCCAAGCATTTGGTTCGTCCGTTTCCGAGAAAACAAACTTCTTCTTACTCATCAGCTGACCAGCTGACCCACTCCGAATCACCCATGTTGCCACGTCTGACTGATATGTTAGAATCTACACGCCTACGTTAATCTCTTTCCTTCATGATATGGTGACATATGAAACATGAAATTGCATCGATTTTTCACGAGGAAGCCGAATCTGAGCTTAGATTTTGGATATTATGCGTTTTAAGTCAAATTTTATTTTATCTATTAATCATTCAGGAAAAGCGGAAACTCATTAGAATAACAGTGTGTATTCTTTTAAAAACATTGATCAAAAATAAAACATTGACGGTATTTGAATCCATTAATCTCAGAGATAACTTGAACACGGTTGTTCTACGACTTTTTACGTATATTGTTTTCTTCCGCATTGGTTGTCGGCAGCGTAGCGGCCAAAGGCCCCTGGTACTAATAATAGTTTTCAAAATACATTTTTTTCTACATTCAAGATCCCAAGGAAATGACAGAAATTTATCAATTGTTACTAATGTTTTAACAATGTTTCTTGTCAATTGTATGCTGTCGTTAAGCTAAACATCCCAGGTTTACCAGTAGGCTAGAAGAATTACTGAGAATTAAAATTCCGAAATAAAAAGAGTATGGCTATACTGTAGGATTCAGTTCTATCTGATTACTAACTAATTAGTTAACTAGAGACTTACCTATTACATTTCTTATTATGTTTTAAAATATTAAAATTAATTCTTAAATGCATCGCCGCTTGTATTGTCACCATGCGTACATTCTATATTGAGCTCGCCCACTCGGGAGAGCTCTTTGCGATCGATTTCTTTTAGCATTGGTAGTGTCCGTGGCGACGAATGGATGGTTCTCGTTGCCGTCGGAGGAACGGCCAAAATCCCATTGATTTCAAGGTCTAAAAGTTGAATTTTCGCGGGTTACAGTTTTCCTCCGTCGAACATTTCCGTTCCCTCATTCAACTGAGGATTAATTGTTCCTCGTTTGCTACACTAGAGAGCAGGACTTTCCAGTGGCCGAGCATATCATAGCATGTTGCTATGGTTTTATATCAAATAACCTAATTGTATGTTATCATCCTCTTATCTTTTCAATGCAGTTTTTGTGTGCAGTTGTACTTGCAATTGTTATTATTTCTTAAAATAAAAAACATGGTGACCTCGACGTGATTTAATAATTTGTTCAATTAATTTTAAGTTACTAAGACTAAGATTGAGATTTGCGCATAATTAATGGATAATCCTTAAGATTGCCGTTATTGGTACCATAGAAGGTTAATTAACCTCAAAATAATTGCATGCTTGAGAGCTCGGTTGAGACTCGCATTGGGATCCTTTCAGAGTTTGTTTAAACCTCATATTAAGAATGCTTTAGGATTCGTTTGAGCCCCTCGCATCAAGAATGCTTGGGAATTCGTTTGAGCCTCGCATTTAGAATGCTTGAGAATTCGTTTGAGCCTCGCATTGAGTTTCTTTAGAGTTCGTTTTAACCTTAAAATACAGATGCATGAAGTGCTCTTTCGAGCTCCGTGCTATTTATAGTGCGCGAGGTGCTCCATTGAGCCACCCCATACCTACAAAGGCGTGATGTGCTCCATTGAGCCACTCGCATACAAAGGCTTGAAGTGGTCTCTCGAGCTCCACGCTAAAATTCAAGTGAATTCCTTTTCAGCTCTTAGTGTATACCATAAGTATTGTGTAAGAATTATGGCAGAAACCTTCCTCCAAACCGTGCTAAATTATAGTTTCTTTGAACTCTGTGCCGATAAAAATTCAGAATTCCAGACTGCCAGCTTAACAAAGTATAACCTTAATTCAAGTTGGCGACTTGATTTAAAAAAAAAAATTAAAATTAAATCATATGATTTCATTACATTGTTGACAAGTTAAGAAAAAGCTTATCAACGATGAAAGCCAGAAACAAAAATGCGATGGCAAAAATAGCCATTGCAACATTTGCCGCAAAATCACATTCATAAAAGATAATTCCATTTCTCTCTCTTTATTTCTCTTTATTTAAGTATTGTAATGTGAAAAATTTGTCATATGAAATTACGTCATAACATTTTGCATCGGCATGTAACCTCTGATAATTGGGTAAAGATTCATTTAATACATATACAATTTCAGAAAAAATCATTAATAGTTGTTAATAGTTTCCCAAAGGCGAGCTCTCCAACACAGTAGTGTTGGAACCAGCAGCTTGTTTTTTTAAATCCAAATATGTGGGTGGTGTATTTTAAAAATGTGAAATTATAAAGAGAAAGACCATTGTGCCATCAAGATACAGGTCTTACAAGTTTCAGCAACCTAATTGGACGTATCGCTGTCAAACGGAATTATGTGCATTATGACGTGGACCCTGTTTTGCTTGTATTCTTATGGTTCTCAGGGCCCATGTCTTAATGCACATATGCAGAAATGTTCAATTTAAGCACTCGCTCAAACAACACGCCTCATGCATCAAAAAGTCATCATAAATTAAAATTAAATGACGAGGCAAAATCAATTCGTATTTCGTTATGCATATAACAAAATAACAAAATAAATAAATAAGCAAATAAATAAAGAAAAATAAAATATCTAACATTCTGGTCTCACCTTTCGACAACGGGGGTCTTGACATCCCAAATCGTAGTCAGGCCAACCATCCAAATCTATATCTGGCCCACAAGTCCTGCCGTCTCCAGCCCAGCCAACTTTGCACTGAAAAAGTTCAATGACAGAATGTGCCTTAAGAATTTTCAAGGGAATAAAAGTCAATATTAACGATGGTTTAATGGTGTGACCGGCAAGGTCAATGATTTAAACATATTTCGTCGCTTCTCAGTCGGAAAATCGTGACTTCATCTCATTTTAAAGCTGCAAAATTTCCACTTACAAACTGTACTTTCACCGGGAAGCTTTTAGGCATTCGTAACCGGAAATTTCGAAAGGATTTCTGGATTATCAGCAAAAATTGCAATTACGAATGGGACTGATGTACGCAAGAGAAAGTTACGTTCATACGTTCGAAAAATGACGAGTTTTCGAGTAAGTAAATGTCTCATCATATAATTTAAAAATGGCATGAACCTATGAAACATACCTTGCAAGTGTATCGTTCCCTTGCCACTCTGATACATTCAGCATTAGGATCGCATCTCGTGCCATCGGGGCAGAGTCCTGGTGCATTGTGACAGCCTGTTGTTTGATTCCCAACGTATCCGCTGCGACAACTGCCACAGTAAAATGAGCCCTATTTGGAAAAAAAGAGAGAACAGAAATAAACTATTAACACTGCTGTTTATTCTTTCTGCGAGACAGAGATGGTACGGTGCGAACTGGTGGGACCGAGCGGAAGCCTTGTGCGCTGACTAAGGTATTAAACGCAAGTTAGAATCGCCTTCAATCCGTGATGATACCAATACTCTTGCTGCAGCGTATTTGTTCACACTTCAGTCGCTCAGTCTCATCAGCCGTACCTTCTAACCAAGCATCTCTACGTAAGCTCATTGCTCATACACTGCAAAAATACATGTGCTTCAGGGTAATATCCTATCGTGAACATGTGTTCATATTGAAATCCATACAATTTAAGAATGAACCATGTTGGACCGCGTGGACAGGTATAAGTACATTCAATCGGTTCGCATAGCAAAATGATCGGTTAACCGAGATCTTTTCCCTGGATTGGTTTTTTTTTTTTTTTTTGACCGGATAAGAAATCAGGGGGTGCTCTCTGACCTTTGCGCGATCCAACCCTAAGGGGGCTGCTTGCCCCTTTAGGGCATAACGGGCTTTGTCGAGGCAAGTTTGGTTTGCCTCAAATCCGCTGGATGAAAGAGAAAAACCGAGGTGCGATGATAAAAACGAAAACAATTTTTCAACAGCGCGAGCGAACCGTGTGATGGCTTAGAGAGTAGGGTGGACCGAAAAGAAAATTTTTCTCAAGATCTATTGCGGCTAGTGGGGACATTCTTGTAGGGTAAAAATGGACATTCGTCCAAATTGCATCAAAAAAATTTCAATTTTCTGAGGTTCCAAGTTGAGCTTTTTCATTTTCGTACCCTCTAATTTCATCGTATTTTCGATAATATTACCCCATAATATTCATGAGCAGAATATTTGCGCGACAGCTAGTGAAAATGCCTTAATTCGACATTAAAGAAAGAAGCTGATTTCTGAAACTGAGCTTAATTGGAGCACTTTTTGAGGTTCCAAATGGAATCGACGAATGCGAAAACGTCCGTTGTCCAAAACAGGGTTTCATAATTGCGTAGGGTTTCTTTTGTCCCACGACACTGATGAATAGGTTCGATCTCTTTCGTAAACGTTTAATTACACTTAGGGGATTATTTATAAAATTTGTCTACATTCCTAACGTCTGAAACCATTTTTTGGCCTTAAGTTACGACGAAATTGTCCACTCAAACTCTGAAACTTTGCATTGGACATCGGACGTTTTCGCATACGTCGATTCAATTGATTTGGATATTTATGAATTGAATTCACTAAAAATTTCAGGCTCCTGGCAGATTATCCGAAAAATGTTTCCTGAAACTATTTCCAGCAGTTTTTTAAGCATTTTTGAAACGCACTTTTAAAAATCGCTGTCATCAGGACTTTTTTCGTAAGTATTTCTACGGTGAGAGATAAGCCAAACGTACCTCTGTATTGTGGCAAACTGAGTTGGAGGCACAACCGCCATTGCGTCCATCGGCGCATTCGTCGATATCGTAGCAGCGTTGTCTGTTCCTGGACGCCTGTTCCAGACCGACGCCCTCAACTCCGCTGCTCCCGGTGAACCCCACGGGACACGGATCACAACGGTAACCGGGGTTCAAGTTCGTACACTGACAACGGGGGTCGCAGGGCTCAACCAAGTCACACTGAAAAAAAATCCCAACAAAATGCGTTTTAAATTGACCACACTGAAGAAAAGATTAATTGGTAGAATTTACCATTCCTTCACGCTGTGTGAAATACAGCGTGAAGGAGTGGTAAATTCTACCAATCTTCAAGTCGATTCTGCCAGAGGAATGGTTACCTGTCCCAGTATATAGTAACGCTTACCGTTCCTCTGGCAGAATTGACTCTGAATTGACGCTGTGTGAAATACAGCGTGAAGGAATGGTAAATTCTACTAATATTTTTTTTTCAGTGCACGAAGTAGGATAAAAGAAAAGAACAATACTGCCATGGTGAGGAAAAACACCGTGTGAACATTCGGATGTAGCCAAATTTTACCTTGTGAATATTTAATCTTTGAGGAAAGGTATGAATATTCCTCCTTAGGATTTTCATATACCATAAATGAAAGTAAAAATTAAACTCACTGAAAAATTGGGATTAAAATACCCACGAGTTTTCTTGAAAATTCTAATTTTATCGGACGAAATTTCGGCAATGCCTGAAAGCTCAAACGACGTTTTTCCATAGCACGGAAGAATAGAATCGTTTGTTTCCTTGTTTAAAGGACGATTCTAGCACCCCAAGTGGCACAGTGCAACAAAATATCGGAATAATTTTGCAATATAATGCTATAAAACTTCAACTGTCTTACGATGAGATTGTAATTGGTCGATAAATTCGATTTGAAAAGATGAATAAAATGGGTCACACATTTGAGAAAGGTAGTAAGTAACTTTCAGTAGAAAATTGCAACTTCATGTTTTTTCTTCACAAAATATCAGTAAGAGGAGTGGATAGTATCTCCTTTCATTGAGTGAATAGGCAACATACACAACAATCCGATACAGAGTAAAAGTAAATGTTAAAGTCCATAAAGTTAGTCCATTAGTAAAAGTTTTACGACCAAATTGCAATTAATTGCAACCTGTGCCGCTTGGGAAGAGTTGTTACGTTGAAAATGTCAAATTGTAACTTTCAGGTGAGAAAAAGTGTTCCCATTGATTCGAACGTCCCTCTCGCAGAGGGGGCCGAACCGTAAAAAAATTGGTAGCTGGAGCCGAGATTTTTGGACGCGACTGCCATAATGTAAAATTACTAAAAACTCAAAATGCTGTGCTGAGCTTCCAGTAGCCGGAACCTAGAATCTCGACTCCAGCTGTTTTAGCTAACTGGATTTTTCCGGATTTAGATTTTGCCGAAAAGTTTTTCAAGATGTATAGTCAAATGAGACACCCAGCGCATTCTAGTAAGTTTCCTTGTGAGCTAATTTTTTTTTTAAAGTGCTGGATCTTTTTTGACAAGTGGATAAAAACAACGGACAACATACAAATATGTGTGGTACAAACCTCATCCAAATCATGACAATTAGTTCCATTTCCGGTGGATCCCTGTGGACATGCCCCACAACGATAGTACGGTGCTTCTTGTGTATCAACGCACTGAACACCTTTAAAAAAAAATAATACACCATTTTATTTATTCCTAATTCGAAATGTTGATCAAATTCAATGTTCCGTTTCATGCACTCGTTACTAATCAACGGGCTCTCCTTGGCCGCTCCACACTTGACCCTACCCCCAAAGTGCCGTCTGTGGCAATGAAAAAGTGGGTAAAAAAATCGACAAAGAATATGTTGAAATACTCTGACAAGATAGTAGTTTTCTTAAAAAATGTTTTACTAAAATTTTATGAGGCATAAAGTTTACTTAAGATATATGCAAAAACGGTTTCTTAGGTAAGTTACAATAATTGATTTTAGAGTTTTTGAAAAGTGTTTTTTTGCCACTAGGGAAATAAAAATCTTAGACGTTATGTCATGTAGAGGAATGAAGAATTCATGAAAGAAAAGTCATACCGTGGTGACAAGGATTAAGATCACAACCTCCTCTTGGTTTGCAGTGTCTGCCATCACCTGAGTATCCATTCGGACATGATCCACATTGGAAGCCCTCTACCGTATCGTAACACTGGACCCCTGATGTTTTGGAAAAAAGAAAAGAAAGTTTAACGTACCTACCATAAAAAGGAAAGCACATTTTCAAGTACCCGCTATTCATAATCAAATGTTTATTCCATGAGTTGGTTTCTTGTTTGACAGCCCTGCAAATTTTCTTTAATAATCTATTATTTTTCATGTTTAGACCGTACAGGTAGGCATTACTGGAAACAATTTCTCAGGCAAGAATGAAATAATTGACTCGAACTCAGATTTTACAACATGATAATTGGATCACTACAACCATGGTTAAAACAATCAGCAGAATCAGCTTTACAGCCTAAGGATACAATTATTTCTACGAAATGGATATCCTTGTTGCATACATAAAAAATTGAAGGCGCATCTGCCGTGTTGCTCAAATCCACGCACGATGGAAGAAATTTCACGCTGCTGATTTTTTTTGGGCCAAAAAAGTTCCATGCGATTCCATGTCTAGAATTCATGGTGTTCACTTTTACAGGGAAATCGACATTGCCAATACGCATCTACGAGGGGTATTCGTAAAGTAAGTTAATATTCGTCATCTCTTCTAAACTAATAAAGATAATTTAAATCTGTAAAGAGTTTGTAAATTTTCATACTCTCAGCTTTCTAAAAAGCTTCAGTTTTTTAAATTTGGTCCTTTGAGTGCCGAGTGACATCAGTTTTCCCACACCCGTCTCTCACCACCGCGTGTCCAAAATTGGCGCGCGTCTTTAGGGGTGCTCGATGAGTGTTACTCATTTATTTCTTAGAAAGAAGCACAAATATTGATGCAAACAGAAACTGTGATGTCAATAAAGGCTGAAATCAGCATTCAAAAGAAAATGCCTTGGCCTTTTGTCTCGTCAAGTGATGCTGCTTCATGACAATACTAGGCCCCATACAGCTCATGTGGCCAATCAGTTGTTGACATCCTTAAAATGAGACCTTTCCCACGTCCTCCTTATTCTCAGGATCCCACCCCACGTGATTTATCACTTATTACCTGAACTAGAGAAGAGTTTTGGCGAAAAAAGTTCCGTGGACGACGATGAGGTGACAGAAGCTGTACAAAAGTGGTTGCAAAAACGGAATCGCCAGTTTTCCGCTGATGGAATAAAAAAGCTCTTGTCATGGTATGTAAAATGTGTCCAACGAGATGGGGACTACGTGGAAAAGTAAAGCCAGATCTTCACAAACATAGAAATTTTAAACTTTAAACAAAAAATTCCATTTTGACAATTTGCAGGATGCAGCCGCATGCTACCGACCTGTGACCTCCCCAGCGCGCGTCAATTTTGGACACGCGGTGGTGAGAGACGGGTGTGGGAAAACTGATGTCACTTGGCACTCAAAGGACCAAGTTTAAAAAAACTGAAGCTTTTTAAAAAGCTGAGAGTATGGCAATTCACAAACTCTTTACAGATTTAAATTATCTTTATTAGTTTAGAAGATATGACAAATATTAACTTACTTTACGAATACCCCTCGTATATGAAAACAGCTAATTAGTTAGCTAACATAAAAAATCTCGACCCAGTTTATCAGAGATGACCCAAAACGCATCGAGATCGAACTGAGATAGAGAGTAGTTTTATTCGTCTAGGATTCAATGTTATGGACAAAGATTGAGATACGTCACAGTACCCGACGTGGTCGACCTGGCGTGCGATATGTTGCATCGATTAAGTGAAAGATCTCGGCAGAAATTGATATTTTAGCCCAAAAAAAATACGATTGCCTCTTTGCATGAGCCTAATGAATAATTCTAAGCCTAAAACTTTGCAAAATTCAGAGAAATGAAATCAGGATTCGTTTTAGAAAAAAAGCAGGATCCATTTTGGAAAAAACCTCACATTCTGTACAGTTATCGATTTCTAAATCGAATCCAAGGTTTTTTTTTCCAAAACGAGCTTCATGCGCAAGAGCTTTAGCCCTTTGTTGGGCTAAAAACTCAAATGTGCCGAGATATTGACATGCGATATATCGCATCCCAGTTAGACCACGTCAGAAACTTTGACGAACCACCCTAACGACTTTTGTCTCGTTCTCAATATTTTTTCTCGTTCTTTAATTTTTGACAGGGGGAGAACGACTAATCGAAACATATTCTCAACAATAATTGAATTGAATTCTGCAAAAATGAACCAGGAGCATCCCAATGTCACTAAGATTGTGCTATTTTTATTACCTTGATTGCAAATAATGTAAAACGATCACCTGAACAAGTTTTATCTTTACCTTCGATAACTTATAAATTTAAGACGAAAATTACCTTTGTAAAATTTCTTTTTCGCATGCTTTTTATTGGAAAGAATGTAAGTTGCACAGTCATGGCAACATTGGAATGTTCTCGGTTCCTTTTTGCAAAACGCAGTCCAATTTTTTATAATGTTTTATTATGTTTTATTTTTTTTTTTTCAAAATTTTGTTTCCAAAATGTAATTGGATGCATTTCTACTAAACTCAATGCACTTCAAACTCAACAGAACGTATTTCGAAATGCATACCTGGAAAACAAGGGTGATCGGCGCAAGTGGTGCCTCGTTTGCAGGACTTTCCATCGCCGACGTATCCTCGAGGGCAGCGGCCGCACCTGGGTCCCTCTGCTGTGTCCCGACATTCAACACCGGGGAAGCAAGGCGGTGGTACACTCTCGCAAGTTATCCTCAAGGATGCGCTCTCTGTTCACAAACAAAATTTTCCTCCAATTTCCTTCCCTTTATCTCCATCAAACATCGTCAAAACCACGTACATGGAACCCAACGAATAAAGCCTCAATATTGCCGTGATAGCGAAGAGAGCAGTATGTAAGTGTCAAATTTTCGAAATCGAGTTTCCTTCAAAATTGGACCGCGTTAAACAGAAAGGAACCAAGCCACATCGGCCACTGCCAAATTTATTCGAGCAATTTAATATTTTACATGAAAACGGATGTACGGATTTTCGTGCAAATTTCAGTGAATTTTCTCTACAGTACAAAGCAAATTCCTTAAAATTTTCATAGGAATCCACACAAACATTCTCTCGTAAAAAATTAAATTGCCCAATTAAATTTGGCAATAGCTGATGTGGCTTGGTTCCTTTCTGTTAAACGCGGTCCAATTCGTCTAATCTCTTTTAGACGAAATCACGTAAATCGCTAGAATAGCAAAGTTCATCTTAACTGTATAAAAACGAGATATATGAGACAACCGTAAGTGCGCAAAAAATTACGCAGTTTCAGGCAAGACAGCAGTAAGTGACATTATTCCTTCAGAGAGTCAATGAAAACAGCGCATTCGAGAAAATTGCGGTCTTCTTCTGCCAATTCCTAACCTGAATTTGTGTTTGTTGTATGTCGAAAACACAACCACGAAAACGTGCAAAAGATAGCACTTACGGCTGTCTTGCCTTATACTAACCTAACATGAAAATGAAAAATACTCTTTTTGTGTAAATGAAATTAAATCTGTCGATTTAAAATCATCCAGATGATTTACAGGAGTCTTTCGTATGATTAACGTCAATCTGACGAATAACGGAGGCTTCTTTCAATAGGTCAGATGCCTCTGAGCCAGTTCTCTCAAAACTTCATTTTTGCACTTACTGCTCTCTTCGCTATCATGACAGAATAGTCGGCTGCGCTTGTCAACAAATCAAACGTCGCACAATGGAACGAGCCAATGGGAGTAGTTAGACAAAATGTGGAAATCTTAAAAGCTTCTAACTTTGGTAATACCGATCTTAGAGGTTTTGAATTAATTTCATTGGTTTCCCTGTGAGATTTGCTGTCAGAAACACACCATAAAATTAGAGATTTGCCAAAATATACACCCAAATTTGCATTTTTGGTTAACAAAGTAATATCCGACCTCTGCTCCCATTGACTCGATCCAATATGCATCGTTTCCCAGAGGGAGGAATGTATCTCCATTCCAAAGTTATGACATTCATTTTTTCACACGGATATGACAGCGCTTTTTGCCAAAATTTTACCAATTTTTTTTTACAGCAATCTGTGGAATAATCTTTGAGGATTCGACGAGGAATACCAGTCGAATTATATCTTTTGAATAAAAAGTCACCACTTTTGGCTCACAATCAGCGTGAAAGCTTCAAAAACTAGCGGACAGTACTTCATTTTGATGTCTACAAAAAAAGGAAAAATGTAATTTTATTTCAGGTAACTGAAGTTTTTTTTTTTACATGAAAGACTCCAAATAATTTATTTTGATTCTATGCTATGCATGGCCCTTGTTTTCTCGTTGGCTAAAGAACGGGTCGCTTCGCGAATTGACAGTATAGCCTCTGGATGCAATTTTTCGTGGTCCGAGGATGTCCCTACTGCACACAGTGGATCGAGTCAACTAGAGACCAGACATGAAATGTTTTACTCAAACTGTAAATTTTGATGTTTATTTCGTCACATTTTAAATTTTTGAGCGGTGCTCCTGTTGAAAATTTCACCAGAAAACCAATGGAACCACTTTAACAACCTCAAAGTTTCGTTTAAAGGGAGTTTTGAGCGTTTAAAGCTTCCAAATGTTGTCCGACCTCTCATATTGACTCGATCTACTGTGCGGCATGTCTCATAATTGGTATTGAATTTCCGAGCCTGAACTAGGTTTGACGCGGGGAGGAAAAATTATAATAAAAATTATTGTGAAAATTATGAATTTCTAGATACAAATATTATAAAATCTAATGCAGTCTTACTAAGTATTTGCAACTTTTCCTCATTGAAAAACCATAATATCTATCGTCACAGAACAAAATTTGGGCCTAAAGAAACGAAAAAAGGGGAATTTCACAATGCAAGGTTTTGCTCTATTGAACTAGCACCCATTATAGAAATTAAAGACAAACAGTCGTGTCGTTTTTACGTTGCATCGAGTGCTGAAAATCCTCTAGATATCCGAAAAGACCGATAGTTTTAATTAGAAGGCTTCCGAGTGGTGAACTGGTGAATGCGCATGGTGCCCTTGTTGTGCTGGCGAGAAAGTAAAAACGCCTTCTTTTACCCAGGTATGCAATGCAGACATGTTGACGTCCACATTGCACACCACGGTAAATGAAGGCGTTTTAGTTGATCGTCGCGCTTCATCCGTCGCCGTCAAGTCAAATTCAAACTTTCGTTTGCTAATAAAACAGATTCATTTTTATTTTTACAGACTCCTCAGGCCATTTTACACGGAACCAGCTCATTTTCAGCTCGTCATCCGGTTTTCCTTGCCCTGGAAATGTCCTCACTGCCATTTTTTAGTGGAATCTTGTGCGGAATTCATGTTTTTTGTTACCTTTTCGTGTGCTCTGTACACTGCCTTCCTAACTCTGCGCTAATTCGCAATATATCGACGATAGAAGTCCTGAAACACGTATCTCAATGCGCAACGTTTCAGGTTTCCTGTCTCACGTTGTTTCGTTAATGAGAACCTTATAAATTTCTTTTTTTTGGTTTTAAATTTTGTCGATATATCTTTATTCTACCCAGAAATATTTGTTACTAAGTTAAACAATGACCTGAAGTCGGGTTTCTTGAGAAGAAAATGAAAAAAATATACATAGATAAATAAAATTAAAAAATGAACCAATGTCATGGCTTTTTAAGAACATTAAGCTGTTGCGATTGAGTTACGTTCTCTCTTTAGACTTTCAGAATAAATTATAGAAGAAAAATACCTTCCTTTTACTGCGCCACAAACATACAGGGTGTACCAAAAGTCCGTCCCACCCCTGCTAACTTTTGAACGAATTGAGCTAGGGTAATGAAACTTTGGGAATGTTCCTATCTCAAAGGGGACCATCTTTTGGGGGGGGGGTCAAAATTTTGGTCCCCCCTCAGGGGGGCGCGCGGGGCCCCCAACTTTTTTTTTCAAATAGCAATTACCCCTATCTTGTGATACATCATTCGAAAGAGCATAAAAAACTAAGAATTTTGGCGCAAACCGCAGATCAATATCTTAATTTTTGACCTAGTTATGATAGGTCAAAGGTCAAATTTGACCTATTTTCAAAAAATCATAACTCCGGTTCAAATTATCGTAAAGAAAAAAATAAAACGGGAAAATTTACCAAATTGTGTCCGCTTTTAAGTAAAAATTGCAGAAATCACTTCGCTGTAATTTTAAGGGGGGGAGGCTCGGAAAGTTTTAAAAAAAAACGAAATTTAAGGTGATTAAATTTGACCGTTTAAATTTCGTTTTTTTTAACTTTTCCCGAAATTTGGGGACTTGCCAACGTAATGTTGAACTAATTTTGACCTTACTGAGATAATGTGGAGGCAAATCTAGGGGAAATTGCCTTTTTTCGCGGGAAAATTGAATGACCTTTGAATTGACGTATTTGGGGGTCCGAGCCCCCCCCTCTTAAAATTACAGCGAAGTGATTTCTGCAATTTTTACTTAAAAGCGGACACAATTTGGTAAATTTTCCCGTTTTATTTTTTTCTTTACGATAATTTGAACCGGAGTTATGATTTTTNGTGAATTCAATGTATTAGTTATCTATTGATCAGATATTTATGGACATTTTTAGAATTGTCCTAATTTACGAGATGAATTGCAACTACCCCTGTTTCTTGGAATCTTGTGTTAAGAAAGAAGAGCTCCACATTTGAAAAAACTTCAGAACGTTATGGAACTTTTTCTCTTAAAGGTTCTGTGTTTCTGGTATAAATAATTAAGTCTGGATGGGATCTCAGGGGTGCTCATCAGGAAGGTTTAAGGAAAGGAAAAGGACACTAAGATTTTGATCAGCAAATGGAACAGTTGCCCTTTCTCCCTAATATTTCTCATCTTGAGGTAAATAACTCAAAAGACTTGTACACTCTACTTTTCCGAGACCACAAGGTCGCAGGAGTCGTAAGTAAAAAATGATTAAGACACGATTTAGAAATGCGTAATTTGGTAGAGTCGTAAGTAAAAATAAAAAGATGAAACATAATGAAGTAAAATATAGAAGCTTTTGTAAATTTAGTAGCTTTAACATAAATTAATATAGAAGCAAGCTCTTGATAAGAGCTTCAGTTTCGCCCATTGCTTACAGAATTGGTGCGTTTAATTAGTACTTTTGAGGATGAAAGCATCTGAACTCCCGTATCGGAAAAATTCAAGTTTTACGTCGAGGTTTTTCTTAGGGCGAAAAAAAATTAGCTTTCATCGACGTTATAATGGTACACCTTAATCAATTACAGAGTTCTCTCTTCTAGTAGGTTATTGACTGAAAAAACAGCCTTAGCATTATTATTTGCGAATTTGAAGCTTGGGACTCATATGATTGTTTATAAAGCAAAGCAACACGAGATGAATTTTATAAAATACCAATATTAGAACCATTTGCTGACCAAAATCGTTGTTTGCCGGACCAAGGCTGGACAAAAAATAAAGGGCTGTTGAGCAGAGACAAAAATAAGCCACAGAGTAATATAAACAGAAATTTTATTAAATGAGTAGGTCAGAAAACAATTTGTGCCGTTGAATTAAATTTTTGGTTAGTTTTCGTGATTAGATTTTTAACTCCATGTTTAGCAGCAAAAAGATTTTGTGGAGGGGAGGTTTGTACAGTGACTTTCATTTAATATTTCAAAATTTCTGAAAGAATAATTTATTTTTGGTTGACGCCGTTCAAATGCCCGTCTGGGGAAAAAATTCAACCCTTGACTTATACTTGTTTTTTTCATGCACTCTTTTAATTTTCCGTTACCTAAAACATGCATCTCAGGGTCTTGCACATGTTTTTCTAATGACTGACGTATTGTTTCAAAGCAAATTCACAGACTTATTTCATTTATTTTACGGAGGATTTTTCTTCAAACTACTGATTTCAGCACCTTTTTAAATCTGTCTTTAAATTTTACAATGCTTAAAAATATAACACAACTCAAAGGGTTGACTTTAAAAATGCTGATCCAAAAATAACAGAGGCACCAATGGATTTTAAGGAACATGCTACCTCTAAGCAATTTGTTTGAGCATAAGTCTTCAATATTCCTTTCCCTGATGTGAGTCCCTCAGTAGGGACGTTTTTTCAGTCTTTTTAACACATAATTCTACCAATTTGGGTCACTCTTAAAATACAAGCACCACAAGTTGGTGCTCATTGACTATTTTGAGTATTTTCATTTGAACACATTTGCTTACTTCGCCTCTTTCCTTACACAAACCAAGATGCAAGAAGGATTTGTTTGGATTTGAGGAGCAAACATCTCATGATCTATGGAACGTGACTGGCGAGTCAAAATTTTGTTCAGAAATGATGACACACGAGGATGATGAGCATACTGGTTCGGCATGTGACGCCACCTCGAACAGGACTAAAATAAATAGATATCTGATATCTGAGGACTAGAAATGAACGCTATGGTTTTCTACTACTAAGCAATAGAGTCATGAGAAGGTTATTTGTTACTATGGTAACAAAATTTACAAAAAGGAGGAGTTTGTCCAGCCTTGGTCCATCGGCCGCTGGTCATCGCTAACCTGGTCTGCAGAAGTCACACCGCTCCAGGATATCGCGGAGACTTTGTGTTTCTCGTCGCTGAAACATACAAAATTACGTCATCCAGTTAAAACGTACGGAAAAATAAATGAGAATAGACTGATTTAGTGGCCGCGTCATTCGATGTAAAAACGAACCCTTGGTTCAAATGTGAACAAACAGAACATTATTTCTGATTCGCGCCCTCTGCGCATGGTGGTAAGATGCGTCTAAGTGTTTCTTGAAATCGAAAGTTTTCGTATTAAAAGAGTCTTTAGTTGATTTATGACCGGTCAATTACTAAATTTTAATAAATTAGCACAATTAACACACAAAAAATTCGCACATGAGGTTATTTCAGTTTTTTTTTGGTTTGAACCAAGATTTCGATATTATATTGAATGACGTAGTCACTAAATCATTCAATTCTGAGGGTACGCGAGCGCAGCACCCTTCCCCAAAAATTTAAAAACCGTCCATGAAATGCAAGCCTGCCCAGAGTTATGACCCCTTCAAAGTAGCAATTCAAGTTTAACTCGGAAAAAACCATATAAATCTTTTATTTGCCACGTTTGAGGCTCAAAATCGTTGAATAAAATACAAATTTAAATTTTCTGAAAATGAATTTAAGTACCTATAGCTCACCCTTAGGGATGATAGAATGACTGAGAACGATCAATGCAGCACACAAAAGATAGTTATGATATGGAGAATGAGATTTTACACCTGCATAATTTTTTTGAAAGCATCACATTTTTAAGCCCAGTTTACAGCTTTATTTTCAGCCTTTGCTACGACTAATGGAGAATCTTAGCAGAAGCTGAATATGAAGTGATAAGCTGAGCGGCCCAAAAAGTGTTCCTCTCCAAAAATGTAAGTGGCGTGGCCTGGTTTGCGATATATTGATTGAACTGCCACTTAAACCCATGAAAGAGTATCGATAGACATGGTAATCGCAACCAACACCTTAATAATCGATTCCTTACCATATAGCATCAAATGGGGGAACATCGAAAATCGATCATTCACGCCTCACCACTGGTAGGTGAGCGTGCAATTTTATTTTTCATTCGGTGATGGCGAGAGTGTTTTAAACATTAAATGTTGCCCTAAATTTTACGAGATCCAATCCTCTTAAAATTTTGCGTTCTTGAACTGAAAAATTCATCAACCAATTACGACTGGAAAGCCATTGATTTTATTATTCTCTCGTAAGCAGAATCTTGCTCATGATGTTCTCGATTAAATCTCCGGCCATTGAAAAAGTGTAATTTAAAACTTCATCGTCAAGAATATAGGTTGGTGAGGTATCTGTTGTACCTCTTCTGCTGTGCCTCTTCTGCTTTCCTTTTCTCGCTGATTGTTTCCTCACGGAAAAAAATAAATTGCTAATTTAACAATTAAATTGCTGTCGTAACAATTGAATTGCTGATTTAACAATTAAATTGCTAAAAAAAAGTGACTGCAATATTTCAACGCAGCCTTCACAACACAAAAATGCTACTTTAACCACTATTGTAAGCTAATTTAACCACGGGGGTGGTTAAAGTAGCATTTTTGTGTTGTGAAATCTACGTTGAAATATTGCAGTCACTTTTTTTAGCAATCGAATTGTTAAATCAGCAATTTAATTTTTTTCCTGCTTCGTGGTGGCCATCAGAATACCATCATGTTTGAACACAATTATCGAGCTAAGTTGGTACGGATATCGATTTTTATCATCTACAGGATTTCTCATCAAATATCACCAAAAATACATCAAATAGTAAAACTGCATATTTTGAGGGCAGGCCATTGCTTTGCCACCAATCTCTGTTTTCCGTCGATTAATGGATTTACTCAAACTGTTTTGTCTTCAAAATAAAAATGAAAAATTTACCTGGGACTCGAGCTCCTCACGAAGTCTTTTCACCACTTGGATTAGATCGTTTATGGTTTTAATGAGCAAGTTATCTGAAACGGACACAAAACAAAGTTTGAAAAATATTAACAAAATGTAGCGTGGAGACTTATAGTCAGTACATCGGTACTTTTACAAAAAAATAATTTGTTTTAAAAATGGTTTCGTGTTTTTTCCAGCGAAAAAGTATATCGAAGGTGAATGCAGAAGTGCGTTTTTAATTAATTTGCAGGGAGTGGCCCCCGGAATTCGGCCTCCTAGTTGCCAGGGGGCGGCCCCCGGAATTCGACCTCTTAGTTGCCAGGGGGCGGCCCCCAGAATTCGGCTTCTTAGTTGCCAGGGGGGCGGCCCCCGGAATTGAGCATCTTAGTTGCCAGGAGGGCGGCCCCCGTAACTCGGCTTCTTATATGCCAGGGGGATGGCCCCCGGAATTCGGCTTCCTAGTTGCCAGGGGCGGCCCCCGGAATTGAGCATCTTAGTTGCCAGGGGGGCGGCCCCCGTAACTCGGCTTCGTAGTTGCCAGGGGGGCAGTCCCGAGGGTTTCGCTATCAAAAAAGCCTCTATATCATTGCCGAAATCCATATCCTGTTGCTTGGGTCAATAATTATCCTTCAATTTGTCGGGTATGCAAAATGACTCTCTTGACGCACGAATAGTGGTATCCGAATTCCCCATTAAGATTATGAAGTGATTTGAAGGCGCTCTTTTGTATCTTATCCAAGCGGCCCTGGAGGTTGATGTTGAGCAAAAATGTTTATAATTTCGAATTATTAAGTCGAGCCGTTCGTTAATTTGGAAAATGCCCGGAGAACATTAAGCTGCGTTTAAAGATTTTTTTTTGCCCGTAAGTCTTATTTCAAAAAAGAGAGCCGAAGAAACGCTCGTTAAAGAATATCGTGCTTTATGAGTTACGCACTTCTGCACTTTCACCATCAATATGTACATATCTGCAATGATGTGCAATACACCCACCTTCCAAATTCTTTGTAAAGACGTTAATAGCATAGGATGCTGAATGTCTTTTGATAAAATAACGAACTAGCCCTCTAACCCTCGGGAAAAATTTTCTCACCGGATGTTCACCACCTCTCTAAAATCTCAGGCTTTATTCGCTCTGCGGCACTTAAAATTTTATTGTGTCTATTTATTTATTTATTTATTTATTTATTTATTTATTTATCTATTTATTATTGTTTATTCTGTGATTGAAGATGGATATTTCATATACGGGCGAGACGATAATGACACAATTATTCAAATTTCTACGCATATATCGGTCATAATCGTTGTCATGACTTATATACTATCAGGGTAAAATTGACATGACCCTAAATTGAATCACTTGGTGTTCTAAGTAATTGCTAAATCACAGTTGCCTCAGTTTTTGGAACTTTTGAAGACTTCGCCACACTGTATAATTATATAAGTCAGTAATTTGCGATAAAATCTTACCATCACAATCATGAATTATTGGAATGTCGCCTGAAAAAAAGAGAAAAGTATGGAAATTTAATATTTTTACAATGATAAGTTTTTCATGCATTCTATTTCTTTCCTTTCAAGCTTGAGCTTGAAAGATCAAATTGATTTTAACTGCTATTTTTTGGAATAGAGGTTTGTCAACTACTCATTCTGACTGTATGTTACATATAAATTCTTAGTAAACACTATGCCAGTTGACTCTTACACATAGCTAAAGAATATTTTCGGGTTATGCTGCTATTATCTGTATTGCATTATAAAGTAGAAGCGTCTTTTGCATAATTTTCCAAATTTTGGTGCGCTTTGCGCACCTAAACATGCTCAAGTGCTCTAGTTTTTACCTAATTAATATTTTATCCTCTTATATCACCAATTCACCAAGCTCCTGATGAAATCTGGACAAGGCGTGCAACACTGTGAATTATTTTACCGTGCGCTATCAAAGTAGTAATTTATTTTGTCATCATATATAGAATATTGACGTAATTATTAGGAATAATGGTTCTATATTTTGCAATAAGGAACCAACATTTCCAGCTCTTTTAGAGAGAGAAAAAAACCAAGTTGATCGGCCCGAAACGATAATAAAAAGTAAACAACTTAACGGAAAGGCCACAAAATAAAACAATAAATAAAAATCCGGGACGTTTTGCAGTATTCCAACCTGCATTTTCAATCGGATGATATGTGCTTGTATCGGAGAAAAAATTAAAAAGAAATAATCTTATACTGCTCATCGCTGTGATTGTGAGACTCACAACTGTTATTTGTGTCGAGGACTCACAATAACAGTGGTAATGTTCAGTATATATTTATTTCTTTTTAATTTTTCTTTTTGTTTAAGTATATCCGGTTGAATATGCAGGGGTGAGTACTGCGAAACGTCTCGGTTTTTTATTTTATATTTCATTTTCCGGCCTCAGTCCCATTTTAAGTTGTTTATTTCATATTCTCACTTTAGAAACGCGCCAATCCCTTAAATTTTCCAAACCGGTATAGATCTCTCGGCGTGACTCCAACTTAACATTCCAATGCAAACTGCCTGAGCTGAACAGNATTGACGGATTAGTAAACTTTTTACACGCTTTGGAAAATCTCAGAAGTTCGCGGTAGTCACTTTTCGGTAAGGAACTAGGGGACTCGGTTATTGTATCGAGGGGGGGGTCGAAACGATCGCAAAGGCGGTATACTACGTATACGCGCCAATACTCTTGATTCAATCGGATTTTTGCTTGAATCAAAACGAAATCCGCTTGAATTAAGAGGCTTGGTTCTTGATTTAAGCGAGATTCTGATTGAATCAAGAGTACTTTTTCTTGTCGATGTTTTTAAGAGTCTGGACTCTAGGTCCAATGTGTTTTTTTCCCCAGTGTTCATCATCGCCAAACGTAGACCAATGACATGATAAAATAATGTAGATGACCAAACGTGTCAATTTGCTGGTCATGATTAGTGTCGAGTTGATTCTCTCACAAGAGGAACCTTTCTTGAAAATGAATATTAGTTGATCTCTGATTACCTCGATTGATTTCGTTGAGCGTTGGGACAGGAGGTGACGGAGGCCCTCGGCTCCGTTGGTCGGCCAACATGTTTTCTGTGTCGGAACAATCATGGTTCTCGAGGACTGTGTCGATGTCCGTGTCCGTGTCGATCTCCAAAGGATACCGACGTTCTCGGTACTAAAGTAAACAGAGGAGAATAAAATTAAATGTATTAACTGGAATCCAAACGCAAATTTTACCAGAGGAGACTTTTACCTTTTGGATGAACTCAGCCCTGCACGTGGCAAATCAGAGAATTTGTTTGTTTATTCGATTTTACTACCTAGCCAAGGCCAGTTGCCAACCCACGCTGGACTCAGATCGATGCACAAGTTATCAAAACCCCCCTCCCTCTAACCCTAATTCCTGCTCCTGCTGGTTTTTAACGAGGCGTTGCGTATACTTTTATTTTTTGCTAATAATGCAATATTCAAATATAATTCTCAAATTCGGTTTAAAACTGACACCAATCTCAATGGAAATACATATTTTTCATTTCAAGGATATTTTAGTTGTTAAACGCACCTTTGAAATATTGGCCAACGGAAAGGTTTTGGTTCCCTAGAATGAAGTCGCGATTCAGTTGCCACTTAATCGCGGAAAAAATTGCTCAGATTATCGACTTTTGAGCGAGTTTATCTGTCATAGAAAAAAATTTAGGTTGGTTTGACATTCTGTATGTAAAAAAAAAGTTCGAAAACTTAAAAAATGTAGAATTAGCTGCTTCAGTAGTTGCTTCAGCAATGCCAAGATGTAAAACCGATTGTTGTGGCGGGTAATTCAGCATTTTATAAGTTCTCGCAAAATTTTTTTACATCTAGAATGTTAAATCAACTTTACTTTTTTCGATGTGGTTTTATCGTGATAAAATTGAAATTTCATCGCGATTTTCTCCCAAAGATATCCCCTATACCTGATTGTTTCTTTTCAGTAAAGAAATGCAAACATTCAGAAGTAAAGAAACAAACACTGATTTAGAATTTGACATCTTATTGTCTCTTGAATGCATGGCACCAGCTAGCCCACTTGCGAGAAGTGTACAGTGAAAAATCAAATGACCTTAGTTCTGTTTGGTTTGGAGAGGCAACTAAACTAACTGCCTGGCAAAGCGGGAAGTATTACTAGAATTTGAAGGCGCTTTAAGCCGAGTTCGTGCTTATGAAGTTCTTTATCAATGACTGCTTGTGGCATGTACAAGTGTTTCCGTTTTCAAATTAATTATTTGATTGCTTTCATTTCAAAGAGAGACGCATAAATGACCATTGAGGTGATCTTATAAAGCTCGATATGTTTTGGCATCGTATTATTTACGATTCATTGAATAAAGAAAAAATGAAAAAATGCAATACAATTTTTGGCACCATGAACATAGTTCTGAACGTAGAGAGAACAGTTGAACCGTGATTAGCAGAAAGGAATCAAGCCACATCAGCTGTCGCCATATTTTACTGAGTAGTTTAATATTTTAAAGAAGAGCGTGGGTGCGGATTTTTTTGAAGGATTTGCCTCGCTTTATGCAGAAAATTCACTAACATTTGCAAAAAAAATCCGCACAACCATTTTCCGTGTAAAAAATTAAACTGTTCGATTAAATGTGGCAAAAACCGATGTGACTTGGTTCCTTTCTGCTTAACGCGGTCCATTTGAGAAGAGCGGAGAGAATTTTATGTCAGCGTGGAACGTCGCTCATCCGCAAATTGCATGTATTGATTAATAATGCAATGGTTAGCCAAAGATGCATATTTGCGTATTTAGCGATCCACTATATTATTAATCATTAATTTTATATCGATAACGAGGGTCGTAATTTAGCTCAGCTAGTATTCAGGTACTCGGAAATCTAAATACTTCAGGTTGCTTTAGAACGCTGCTCTTATTACCACAATTGGACGTGTTTATGCTAAAAGGACTATGTTGCGCGTAAACCCTATGCACATAGTTCCTTTTAGCATAAATGCGTCCAATTGCAAAATAAGCGCACCTGGAAAAGTGATCTCGACTTCCATGATCGATCGTCATCGAAAACAGCTGTCGGTTGAGAATAACTCAAACGCAACCGGGAACCGTCAATCAAAGCAAAGTTTAACCCAGTTCATATCCGGGAATATCGATTTCTTTTCAACTATTTCCCATTAAGACAGGGTCAACGTCTAAAAACCACAATAATGCAATATCTCGGCTTGATGCGCGGGGCGAGACCCGGGAAGGGTGAAAGATTTATTCCGCGGCCGGAAATCAATGGCGTGGCGTGCTTTGCGATATATCGATTGTTATGGCATTTAAACCTATGGAAAAGGATCGATAAACAGGGTATCCGCAGCGAACACCTTAATAATCGATTCTTTACCATACGTTTAAATGGCAAAACAATCGATACATCGCAATTCACGCCACGCTACTGCCGGAAATCAATACGGAAGGGATCAAAACACACATCAACTACACTTTCCTCTCTTCACGTGTCATTGCCCCTCTCCCAGGTTCATTTCCGTCGGCTTGTAACTCTTAACTTAAGTTTTTGTGACCGGCGTGAAACTCCCTTCAATTTGTCTCGATCTAGAATGGGTCACTAAACCTTGCTTATTTTATTGAATATTCTGAAAGTACTATGTGAGGAGAAAACGTGGTGATTTTTTCGCATTTTTATGGAGCCAAAATCGCGGAGAAAACCGCTTTTGAAAAATCTAAAAACTGCAAGACATTTCAAACGCACCCGAATGACGGGAAACTGACACGGTTGATGTAGGTATATCGGATTATAGCCGATGTCTCATATTATCCAATCATCACTTTTGCACTTGAAGACTAATGGAAGCCTTTCATTTACCCAACATCCAGAACTACTCAATACTCTTGATACGCGCGTTATTTGATTAGGAACGGTTGTTGGAATAATTATTTTTAGCGCGACTGTCACTCGGAAATGGATAAACCGCGATATTTTAATACGCTGGTAGAGACAAAAACTAATCGTCTCTAAGCTTTGAATGCCTCTGTACTAAAACGAAAATAAATTCAATTCAATAATTCAACAACAACAAAATGATGTTCTAGGACTTTTTCAGAGCATCCGCGGAAAAAAAAAGCTTGCATGCGGACACACAATGCGAGGCGGTGAATTGGACTGCATTCTGCAATTAGGAACTACAATTCCTGGCTCTGTTTAGGAACAACGTATGTGCCATTAGTTTCCCTATGCACAAAGAAGTTTTTAGGGATGATGCAGAAATTGTTGTTCCAAATTGCAAAATGAAGTTCAATTGGATGTACCTGACTTTTTTGCGACTTACGGAATATCCAAGGAAAAAATTGGCTTGCATCGGAGACACAACTAAGGTCGATTGGACTGCATTTTTCGATTGAAAACTGCAATTTCTGGCTCAGTTTAGGAACAACGTATGTGCCATTAGTTTCCATACGCACAAAATTTTTAACAGATGAAACAAAGATTACAGTTCCAAATTGCATAATGAAGTCCAATCGGAACTACCTCAGCCTCAAAGCCTCGAAGTACGGTAGGTCAAACGACGCCAACTAGAGGCAGGAAGCTAAGTCCTGAACGGCTGTAGGGTGGGTCACAAAAGGTACTTTAGGGCCCAGTCTTACAGGCTGTAAGGCTCAGTCCTAAAAATAATTTCAAAGCTTTGACGGCTTATTCAGCCCGCTCTGCCAACTGTTGCAAGTTGCTACTGATTTCAGTGCACGCATGATGATTTAGTGACAATTGCGAGAACGAAGAAAAAACCACGTTGTTTTGAACGCAAAATAAAGTTCTGCGTTGATTAATTTTTCTCCATTAACATCACACTATAGACGCTCTTGTTTCTGGAACATTCTGGAAAAGTTCATTTGGAAATTTCCTCTCCTCTTCGCCCCCCCCCCTCCAAAGGGTTTTGGGTTAAGTATTCTTCTTTTTTTTTAAACTTTTACGGACTTTTACCCCTTTCTTCCCCCAACAAATACATCCTCACAGCGTTATTTTCCCTGTTTCTTATTGTTTACACAATTTAATCCTTTTTCATTGTTTTGTAGTCTCGAAGTTTCTCGAAGAACAGAGCAGGGATTTTCAAATCCTGCTTACAATAAAGAGGTCCCTCCACCTCAATGGAACAAAAGGGATGCATTTTTGTCCTTTTGTTCCGTAAAATTCGGGTTTCCCGCCACAGGACAACGAGGAAATAGTTTCTAAATTACATCCTAATTGCAGGAGGGGTCAGCAGAGGGGGGTGGGATTTTTGGAGGTGGCTACAGACCAACTGAACTTATAAAAGGGAGACCCCACCCCTAAAGTTCAATCAGTGTGAGTTTAGAGAGCGAAGAAGTTTCATGGGTGAACAGGTCAGAGGGTCAGTGGTTCAGTGCTTCAATGCTTCAGTGCTTCAATGCTTCAATGCTTCAATGCTTCAATGCTTCAGTGCTTCAGTGCTTCAGTGCTTCAGCGCTTCAGTGCTTCAGTGCTTCAGTGCTTCAGCGCTTCAGTGCTTCAGTGCTTCAGTGCTTCAGTGCTTCAGTGCTTCAGTGTTTCAGTGGTAGTGGGTAGTGATTTAGTGGAACACTACAGTCAGCAACCGGAATTCCAAAATTTGTAGTGACTCAACTTGGATTAAGCTCCTAATACGTGAGTAAACCTTATAGCTTACTCATACCTTCTATTTTTATACACTTGAAATTTCGATAGTTTTAATTCTTAATTTTTTATTTTTCAAATTTTTATTTTTCCAATTTAAACTTTTCAAATTTAAATTTTTAATTTTCAAATTTCAAATTTTTATTTTTCAAAGTTATTTCTTTTTTTTTCAACTTTATTATTCTTTTTCAAAACTTTTATTTTACAAATTGAAATTTTGTCGCTTTTAAATTGTAAATTTTAGGTATATTCTATAGTGTTTTATCATTACTACAAAAACGGTCTACGGTGTTTTAGGTACTCATATTCTCAAAAAAAAGAAAAAGGAAAAAAGAAGATCAATGAAAGTAATAATATTTTATTCCAATTTATCCTAATTCTATGGATCAACAGTATATTAAGGTGATTCGATGGACGCCATATTTTGTGTCAGAACGGCATGCGATATATCGCATCAATCGGTTCCATTTTTTTAGCCACTTGTCATTTTTTTCTAATTTTGAGATCGCAATTCTGTTGTCGGGAGACTATAGCACTCACTTGCCAATTTTAACAAAGAAATTCAACGTAATAAAGGCGTGGTTTTTTTCAGAGAAAAAATATCGCATTCGAAAGCAGTTTCGATATCAGTATCGAATGCGATGTTTTCTCTAAAAAAAAAACCACGCCTTTATTACGTTGAATTTCTTTGTTAAAATTGGTAAGTAAGTGCTTTAGTCTCCTGACAACAGAATTTCGATCTCAAAATTATAGAAAAATGACGAGTAGCTGAAAAAATGGAGCCAACTGATGCGATAAATCTCATGCCGTTGTGACACAAAATATGGCGTCCATCGAATCACCTTCATTATTTTCCTGCTATTTGCACTGATCTACACAACCAAAAAAACCCTTAGATTGTGAAAACTTTCTTGAATACTTGAGTAATTTTCAGCGCTTATTCTGAAAAAATAAACGAGAATCAACCATCAAAATCGCAGAATTTTTATTAGAAGTGAACATTCGTCCGGTTAAAGTTTAAAAGTAATCAATCAAAGTATTTATTAATTGGACTGCATTTTGCAATTTGGAACTATAAATTCTAGCCCGGTTTAAAAACGAAGTATGTGCCATTAGTTTCACTATGCGCATAAGTGTTTTTTCAGATGAGTCAGAATTTATAGGTCCAAATTGCAAAATGTAGTCCAATTGTCCAATCGCTCTCATGCTTTTAGACTTATATCATTGCTATTTTTCTTTTAGGTCATTGTTTTGAATTCTTGAATTCTTGAGTAATTTTTAGCGCCTAGTCCAAAAAAATAAACAAAATCAAATTCCCAGAATTTTTAGAAGAAGTTCTTATTTGCTAGGTTAAAATTTATTAATTATCAATTCAATTATTCATTAACTTCCCAATTATTTTCATGCTTTTAGACTTGTAATAATTTTTTTTTTTTTTTTTTTTTTTAGGTCATCATTTTGCATCCAGAATCGCATCAAAATACACTGATTGAATAAAAAATGCGCAACTACACCGCCACGTTTGAAAATCTCCGATGGTGTTCTACTTTCAGAAAAGAAAAGTAACCGAGGTATCTCCCTCAGATTCTCCGTGAATATTGCAGAATGAGTGAAGAAAGTTCTCCGAAATTTTAATGAAAAACTGCTGATTAGTTCTGGTTGAAAATAATAAAACAAGAGCAGAGATTTGTGACGTCACAGTCAAAGATAAGTATTTTCAATATTTAGCCATCGATATTCTAACTCTCGTTAAAGTTTTAGTAAAAAAAATTGCGCACAGGCTATAATTTTAATTTACATTAGATCTTTAGCAGCTCTGCTTCCTTCATTTTTCTATTTTTCCAGATCGGCAAAGCAGTAATGACGTTCCCGGCATTTTGCTTGTTGAATGAAATCAACTTATTTTATGGGACTAAATTTTTATTTTTCCTCTTCAAAGGCTTCATACTAATTTTTTCTTTCTCCTTTCTCGAGTATTTATCTCTTCTAAATTGACAAGAGACAGGGTCAGAGCACAAGCTACTTTCAGCATACTGATCGCGGATAAAATTGATTTACAGAATTTGTATTTTTTCTCAAACATCATACAAGTTTTTCTCTCCAAGTTTTTTTTAAATCTTTATCATTCTATTTTTTTTACATCGATAAGAAACGAACACAGTGAAAGTTGTTTCATCTTCTTTTATTTTTATTTTTTTCTTTTATATATTCTAAATACCTCAAACTAATTTTCCATGTTTTTTCTTCTTTCAGATTGGCAAGAAACGGGTGCAATGGAAGCAGTTCATACGTAATTTTATCTTGCTCTCTTCATTTTATATCGTATCTACGTCTTATTAATTTCCCTTTCTTTATTTATTCTTTCTTCCATCTTTCATTGGCGTCTCCTCTGAAGGTCCAGATACACCTGCGAATTAAAATCGCTTGTTGAAAGTGAAACACCAATACGAAAGGAAGATTTTGATAGCTTTGACGTCGAGCGATCGAAATCCCGGTTTCCTATTGGTGTTTCACTTTTAACAAGCGTTTCTAACTTGCAAGTGTATCTGCCGCTTTACACCATTCGCAGTGGAACTAGCATATCGACGGTGAAACTACCAAACCACGTATCTCGTTTGCGGTGTTTAAAAATCTACGCTCACATTTTATTTTTTTGAAGTAAACCAAATCAATATCATTCCTTGAAATTTTCACGGAATTTTCTCCGCACAAAGAGAAAAAATCACAGAAATTTTCAAGACTGGATGTTAAGTAGTTATTCATTTAAAAAATAAAGTATGACAGGAAGTCTGCGACGTCGCAAACCGAGATACGTGGTTTGGTAGTTTCACCGTCGATATTGTAATTGGACGTATTTCTGTCAAACGGAACTATGTGCCTTAAGACATGAGCCCTGAGACCCATAAGCATACATGCATAACAAGGCTCACGTCATAATACACAAAGTTCCGTTTGACAGAAATGCATCTGATTGAAATTACGATGTTTTTTCCCTCACAAAAGCACTTATCTGAAAACTGCTATTTTTTCTGAAATAAGACAAAACTATCAATTCCTCTACTGCACGGCATGGTCCAATTTGCACGTATCATACAGTCATATTTTGATCATTGAATCGCTCATTAATGATGTTTGATATTTTAAGTATTTAAAATCAGGACAATTATAATTATGCTGCATGCAAAAAGCCACTTGAAATTACTAATGATTTGCTAACAGAACAAATAGCTCAGAAGAAAAAATAGCGTAAAAAAATTGCACTAAGGTGATTCGCTGGACGTCATATTATGTGTCAGAGCGACATGCGATATCGCATCGATTGGTTCAATTTTTTCAGCTACCCATCATTTTTCTCGAAGTTTGAGATCGCAATTATGTTGTAGGGAGACTGAAGAATTCACTTACCAATTTTGACAAACAAATTGTACTTTAATAAAGGCGTGGTTTTTTTTGAGGAAAAATATCGCACTCTATACTGATATCGAAACTGCACTCGAATGCGATATTTTCTCTCTAAAAAAACCACGCCTTTATTACGTTGAATTTGTTTGTCAAAATTGGTAAAGAATTCTTCAGTCTCCTGATAACAGAATTGCGATCTCAAAATTCGAGAAAAATGACGAGTAGCTGAAAATAAGGAACTAATCGATGCGATACAAAATATGGCGTCCATCGAAACACCTTAAGTTCCAAATATTTGTACGGAATTGATTTAGCATTAGAAAAGAGGAGGTATGAGTTTTGACAAATATATTAAGCAAGGATCAAAACTAATTTGTTATAAAAGTTTTCGTTTTCAAGTTAGGTTTAGGTTAAGAACTAATCATTCCTTTTTTTTCCTCTTCTGAGTCTGTTTCAGGTCCGAAAGAAACGAAGAGGTTGGATGCTCCGCAAGTTGAGTCATTGAGGACGGAAGTAGTGCCCTCCTAAATGTGTATTAGTTGCATATAATTAAGAAAGTAGTATTTACCAGTATGATTGAAATTTCATCCAATCAATTTTTAATTAATTTCATTTTAATATCCATGAACATAATTATATTTTAAACGTGTCGTATCCTTAAGATAATCGGACGCAATTTTTTGTGTCAGAACGACGTGCGATATATCGAATCGATTCGTTCTAATATTTCAGCTACTTGTCATTTTTTTCGAATTTTGAGATCGCACTTCTCTTTTTATGAGTCTGAAGAGTTCATGTACCAAATTTGACAAAGAAATTCAACGTAATAAAGGCGTGGTATTTTTAGAGGAAAAATATCGCATTCGATACTGATATCGAAACTACACTCGAATGCGATATTTTTCCTATAAAAATACCGCGCCTTTGTGAAGTTGAATTTCTTTGTGAAATTAGATACATGAATTTTTCAGTCTCGTGACAAGAGAAGTGCGATCTCAAAATTCACAAGAAATGACAAGTAGCTGAAATTATGGAACGAATCGATGCTATATACCACGATATATCGCACGTCACTCTGACACAAAAAATGACGTTCGTCGAATCACCTTAACTTGAATGCCCTCAGCTGCTTAAAGATATAGAAGAAGTATTTGCTATTCCTTCCAGTGCATGATTCTCATTTAGTACAGTCAAATAATATTGCATTTAACTGGGAGAAATTGAGCTGCATTACGCAAAAATAAATTATCTTTTTCGGTTCACCGTAGAAAAAACACGAGTTTCATTTTTCCAACATAAGTAGGTGAATTTTGAAGAGCCAAGAATATTAATTCCTTTTTGCTGAATGCAGTTCAATTACTACAACTGAATGCAAACTTGCAATTGGATTACACTTTGCAATAAGGAACCACTATTTCTTGCCAATTTCAGAAACGACGTACATGCCATTGGTTTCCCTATTCAGATATGTGCTTTTATGGGAGAGCTAGAGATAATGGTATCTCATTGCAAAATGAGATCCAATTGATGTTGCAAGTACAAAGACTGAATATGACTGCAATTCAAATTAAAATTTGGAAAAATAATACCTACGTTTGATTCATTGTGGCATAATGCCTTGACTAAAATCTTGGCGAGAGAGTTCTGGACACATTTAGGCTAGAAGCCACTACGTTGCAGGCAAATCCTAAGCACATACCTCCTTTTAGCATACATGGGTCCAATTATTTTAATTGCTGTTATAATTATAATGAGGGGTGTAATAGAATTCTGAAAACCAGTTTTGTCATCCATTGCAAACCATGCTAATGACTCTCGATTTATCTTGTTTGTTCCAGAAGATGCGGCTGAAGAAGCGGGGGTTTTGGGGGAGGGCTCGCTGAGGGGGGAGATTCCCGGGGAACGGGGGGTTCGTGGGGTTGGGAA